CTAACCTAGATTTTCTGGAAAACTGGTAACTTTGTTTTTTTTTTTAATCGCTTCTAATTAGATTTAACCTATATTCTAGTTTTTAATATTCTAAAAATTATTTAGAAAGCAAAAATTTGTTTGTCAAATTATGTAAAATTTTTTTTTAAATAAATCAAAATGCAATATAAACACGGAAAACCATAAATTCTTAAATCGTACAACAGTGTAAAACACTTATATGATCGGTAAGGGCCACTCATAACTCATAAGCAAAATCTGAATTGGCATTTATTTTTGCGTATTAAAAAACTAGAAATCATAAAACAATTCCTATACTAGTTCTAAATTTACCAAAAAATATCAAAATTAAAATTTTAAATAAAAAATATTACATTTTAAAACTAACAAATTGTATTTTTTAAAATTGAAAACATTATTATAATTGATGTAGGGAGAAACAAAAAAGAAAATTGTTTTCAATGTGTTATTATGGGTGATGTTCGCTAGTTTTCGTAATAACCTTAAATCTCTATGACAAATCTGATTATACAGGGTTATTCAAATTGCATGTAACATTTTACATTGGAATGTTTCATTATTTGTTACACGAAATGTGTATGAATAACCCTGTATAGTGTGTGTAGGAGTTTTTATCTCACCATAGGCGTAACTAAGTTTCTGACTAATAAAAATTTTAACTTATACAATTTTTTCCTACGAGTATAAACAAATTTGTTCCTACAATGAACTAATTTAGACCTAAAAACCTGACAAAATTACGTTTACTTACAATAATCGGATTTTAATTCTATACAATAATTTAAGCTCATCGGCCTTTTTTCAGGTTATTGTGGAAGTCGATTTTTGAAAAACTATTTCATTTACCTAAAAAAGACAAGGAGTGAATACTAAAAATTTGATAACTTAAAATAGGATTCGAACACAATTTTAATTGAAATATCAAAAATCGATTCCCACAATAACCTAGAGAAGAGGCTGTTAAGCTCAAATATTCTTACAGAATTGAAATCGGCTATTCTAAGTAGGCGTAATTTTGTCAGTCTTTTAAATCGAAAAACGTCCAAAAAGCTTCTCCGTAGGGCTGATTTTTTATTAAGCTTTTAGAAAATTGGTTAAACGCTTATAGTAAAATTTAAAAAAACCAAAAAGAATTTTATAACAAAATACAACACGTTTTTAATCACATTTTAGAAAGTAGGGGAGAGATGGTGAATGCCGGTCAGTGGCTAAGAACGGTCACGCTGGTAATCCCAAATAACATGATTGATAAAAATCCGTTTTATCACGCATATGATAAATTATTGTATGATAACTTAAAATTATTCTTCCCGCCATAACGGTAACAACTGATAACAGAAAATCGCTTGTTTTAATTTTTTCGACGTTTGTATAATACAAAATATTTGTTCTTCGAAAAAAATGTATGATGTGTTTAATTCATCTAATTAGGTTAGTTAATAACCTGTTTGATGCTAAATGTTATGTATTTTAAGATGCATGCAGTGATAAAACTCTTGGTTGATTTATTGTTTGAGATACAATGAAATAAAAAAATTAATTATAGTCTGCCAACACCGGTCAAACTAATGGGGTAATCCCGATTACAATATATAATATGTGACCGGTTTTGACCGCTGATAAAAATACAAGTTTAAAAGTGTAATATTTTTTTTCTTTTGTTATTACTTATTTCTGCAATAAAATGATTTATTAATTTTGAAATATTTAATTTATTTTTTAATATAATGATTTGAGAACAAAATGTATTTTTACAAAAAAATATAAGATGATTTAAAAAAAAAATTGTATGTCCTATCTATTTATATGTATTAAAAATATGACCAGTATTACCTCACAGTAAGGGTAATACCGGTCATTTGCAATTTTTTTTAAAAATGTTATAAACGTCATAAAACACACGTTTAAAGATTTTAAACTCAAATATATTGAAAATATATAGCAAATATATTATGTTTATAAATCAATTTTGAGGATTGACTTAAATTTCGGAGTTATAATTAGTAAGATATTAGAATTTTCCCTTAGGTAACCGGCATTCACCATCTCTCCCCTAAAATCGCTTTTAATACTTGATTAAATATAATTTTGTACTTTTTTGTTACCTTAAATATTTTATTTATTGCTTGTTTTCTAAATTATCATGTAAACTTAACAAAAAATAAATTTTCTTCTGAGCAACCGCATTTTATTCTTTATCAATTATCAGTTATCTCATATTTATTTCATAAAACATTTCGTTATTTCAGAAATTAAAAGCTTTAATATACTAAATTGAACATTTTATTTTTACTAAAAAAAATTGATAGACATTTGTTTGCATCTTTGTGGTACTAAATTACAGTCTCGGTAAAATTGTTGAGTATTTAGTGCTATTAATTTCGGACTATAAAGAAATAACAATAATTTACAATAACAATAACAATTATTATGAATGAACAGTGAACTTATTACTAAAATAAATTCTAATTACATTTTTTCGACTACAAAGCAAGCTTAAGGCTACAAGCATACTACCACCTTCCTATCCTGTTGTAACCTTGATTTAGCCAAGTTATATGAATAAATAAAACCAGTACATTTATTATGTCTGGGTATAGTGGGAACGGAGCATATTGGGGCGTGGGAGATCACAGGTCTACAGGAATTATTATTATAACTGAAAGTGATAAGGTCACTTTTAAATAAACGCTTCGATGCGAATCTGTAAAGCTAATAAACATAAAAATATCGATCTAAGTCTTGTACCTAATTACAATAATGTGCTTAAAATAGTATTTTTAGAACAAATAATAACACATCACGGTTTAACCTTTAAGTTAAGTTTTGTAAAAAAAATTGCCTACACTTTTCACTTTTCACAATAATTTATCACTTAATAATACCAATTTTGCTATCTATTAAGGTTGTAATAATTTTAGATGATAAATATAAATAATTTTACGTATATAAATAGATGTAACGACGTATTGCTTTCTTTTACATGTTTGTTTTTAATAGCTGAAACACTAATTATTACGATTTGTAAAATTATATTTGTATTATCATCGTATTCTACGTTAAAACATACACAAACGTTTTTTTTTTTAAATCCAATAGTAGGTACAAATTGTAAAAATCGATTTTTAAGGGCGACCCTAATGTTTACTCTCACATAGGCAACTCAAAAATACACGAATATACGACCTCTGCGAAGTTTTACCCTAAAAAAAAAAAAAGCAGGCATTGAAACCAAAAAAGTGGAATAAAAGTACGAAAAAGTGAAATAAAGAAAAAGTTTACAATAGGTATTTATCGATAATGTTCAACCTAAGAATATTCCATACAAATTTATTAATATTCGACTACTTTTAAAAAAGTTGTTAGCCGTTTTAATTTGGAATATATGTAAGCTGGATGTTTTTCTCAATTTTGAAAGGAAACGGGTGAACTTGTTATATAAAAATTAACTTGTTGTATAAAAATATCATACTTATATTGGTAATAGCGATTTATAAATATATACATATATATATATATAATGCAACACCGAAAATGTCGTTTTTAAGATACCTGAAAGGCTATCTTAATTGTGAGAGTATATACTCCTGGTACCAAAGGTAAAAACGACATTTTCGGCGTTGCGATGACGCTGTACTATCGATTTGGGCAAATCCATTGAACTCGGTTATGAATGAAAAGAGGAACTACCCTTCACTGTACGACTTTTAAAGTAACAGGAGCACATAAGACCGACGTCGTCGTCAAAAGCTCGCCGGCATAGATAATACATTAATACCTTTTTAAATCTTTTTTAGATGCACCTTTAGTAAATTTATAAAAAGAATTACGAATCTCAAGTTTTACACATAGACGAGGAAGGGGTGGCGGGCATGTACTTTGCCATCAAATGGTTTGAGTCTAAATAACAATCATATTTTCTGAGAAAGTTTTAGTTTTACAATAATGCGTTTCTATTTTATACCCAAAAGGTACTTTTTGTAACCAAAAAGTTCGGGTCTTCTCAATTGAAATAAAGAAAAAAACAAAAAATTTACGCATTATTAAACTTGATATCACGGGCCATTCATTTAAAAAAAAATTCATTCAACTCACACGTCATAGCAACCAAGAAATTTGTGTATTGATCGTTTTTCGCTTTGAACTTTTTAAATTTTTGACCCAATAAAATATCTTTCAGCTTCAATTTCCGATATATATACGTGCTACATGAAAAAATAAGTTTACCAGCTTAGAAGTATCGTGGCGAAAAAAAAATACAAAAACACATAATTGTAAAAACAAAACAATACCTATGAATGTGTTGAAGCTTTCGCGGATTGAAATATCACATGAAAACAATACCTCATGCATCGAAGCTGAAATCATATCATTAAATTAATTAGAAATATATGTATAACTAAAATTTAGAATGACTATCTATTATACATGAAAATAAAATTGAAGAGTTTATCTTTTTATCCAGGCTAAACGGCTAAACCAATTTTGACGCCAATAAACTCTCGGGTAACAGCTAGTATCTAATAATAATTTAGATAATAAAACAATTTAAACTGTAATATAATAGAAACTTATTGATGTTTTAATACCTTTAGCTATATGGCACTCTAGCTAGAATATCGGAAAAAATCATTTAAGTACTCAGTTTCCCCTCCCCCAACTATTCCAAGTGAAGCACAGTAGCACGTAAATAAATAGTAGTACATTATTCTCGACGGTTATAAATTAGGTTATCGATAAAAAAAAACATTGTATAATGCGCACACAATATGTTACGGTCTCATCTCGACAGTTAAAAGTGTTTTTTTGTATTGTTAATAAATTATTGTAATCTATTGTCTGTTAATAACTTGTATAACATGTATAAATAGCAGATTTTTTCGGCACAAGAGTAGGTAAACCGAATTTTATCCATAGTCATAGTATGAAAAATATTATTTTACTCTTAGTTGTGATTTGTATATGAATAGTGTACTTACTCAAAATAATATTGTGTTGTCCAATAAATAGCGCCGATTTATTATTACTTAGGTAGGTACAACCAGTAGTATACTTGTCTATGGGTACAACACTCGGGTGATAAGACGTTTGGCATTTAGGCAGACATTATTCCGTTCGGCTACTACATGAAATGCGGTTAATCACAAAATTCACAACAGTAATACTATAATCTATTATTATAATATAAATATACAATCATCAAACACGAGTTGTATTTATCGGTGTTATCTTTAGCCTCGGTAAACGGCCGATTAACCGAAGCTGTTTGGTCTTTTGGTCGTAAGCCGCTGACCTATTTACGTGTAAACTATAACCGTGTTTGGTGTGTAAAAAAAAAAAAGCTAGGTATATTATTTATTCATAGTATATTTTAGACGGAAGTTGGAAGAAATATAATATATTATGGTTAAGTTGATAATAGCAACAGGCAGTTAGTTGAGCAGCTGTTGACTGTAATTTACAAATGGAATCGGTTGTGCGAACGGAACTGACGCGAACAGCAAACTCGATGGCGACTGACTTTTTTTTTTTATTATTATTATTATTTTTTTTTTTATTAGCAGAAATGCCAATGACCTTGGCCGACACGAGACAGAACGCCGGAGACGCGAGAGAAAACTAAGAGAGATAAAACAATATTTAAATTTCCGCCGACCGGTTTTTGTTGTATAATAACAATAAATGGTTACTCGTCGGGACAGCTGCTCGAGTGTAAAACAAAATTGTATCACGATTAAAAAATACATGTATAATAATTATAAACTTTGCAATGTCGTTATATATTTATATATTTTAAAAAAATAATTAAATTAGTTTAATATTTAATTAAACAAGTATAATTTAAATGTTATAATTTGATTTTGTTGTATAGATGATTTTTATTAAGGTAGGAATGTCAGTCCTCCCTCCCCCTGGTGCTAAGCACTACCAACATTTTCTACAGTTCATACATTACGTTACATGGGAAGGGGGCTTTATTCAGTATTTAACTCCATTACTTCTTCCAATTTTGTTTAGCGAAATGCGCCACTGGTTGACCAACCTGGGTCCAGACGATTTAAGAGGCAAACCCTTGGCGTCGTCACAAATTATTATGAAGGGTATATACACTTACAAATCAGTGGCGCAACTGGGGGGAAGCTAGGGAGGCTTAGCACTCCTTGACTAAAATTTAGCCGCACCCCTACCCAAAAATATTACTTGTTGACTTGAATATCGGTTAAACTTTATTATTTTGTCATTTGAAAAATTGAAAAGTAATGATTAATGAAAGTAATAAAAACTCAAAATGGTTTTTCAAGTAAAATTGTTATAGATTATGTATTGTCTGTGATAAAATATTGATGGAAAAAAAAATGTTTAGACTATTCTGTAAAATTGTTTTAACTCGAGTTGTGCTTAACTTACAAGTGTCAAAGTTTTACAGTGTATAAGTAAATTCGCAAGTTATCTACTGATAATGCTTGATAACAAAATGTTTTCAAACACATTTTGTCATTTTTATAATTAATTATTATTTATAAAAAAAAATGTTTTTAGTTTTAATGGTTTAATCATTTCACCATAAAGTATCTTTTTATATCCGTGTATTAAGCATATAATTGATTATATTGTACAGTGACACGAAGAAGAGAACCAATATCGGTTAACCTTGAAAACAACTGTTGACTAATGTCCAAAAACTATAAAATTATTATAAAACAAGATTTAAGGAAAAGGAAACAAATATGTTGAAACAATAACTTATTTACGAGGAAGTGCCCAGTAGGGTGTATTGAACAAGATGTAGAATTATTGAAAACGTTTCCACAATATCTTACAAAAGTAAAGTATTGGTATTAATAAACCAAAAGTAATAAAACCCAAATTTAACAAAATGAGTTAGATTTTCCGTCATAACTCAAAATATTTTAATACTTTAGAAATAAAAAATGAACACTGTTTCAAAGGTAATTAAATTCTAGAAAGTGAGCATATTTTATCTAAAACATTAAGTATTTCATACCTAAACAAATAAAAAAATTATATTTTTAAATATTTTTAATTTTACTTTAATTTTAATTTGATAAAACAATTATTTTGAAAACATATTTTACAAGTTAGATACGACTAAACCAATTTGTAACATATAATAATATAATATATACGACCAGATTATATGTACACGTGTCATGTTATCGTAAAAGCGACTGCTAAATTATATACCTGGAATTTGTGATTAAAATAACTAGTTTGGTTTTGTAACAATAATATTATTAAAATTCAAATATTTTAATTTACAATAATATAAACACAAAATGACATTACATTACAATTATTTACAGAAACAATAAAAGTTTTAAAGAATATGAATAGGTACTTTTTTTCATTTTAACATACGTTTTTATAAAAGTGTAATCTATTATTTATAAACTTATTTTAACTTTTTTTTGGGGTAGGGAATGGAATTTTATAATTAATCAATATTATATTTATGATGGTAAAGCCTAAGAACTTGTAGTTTTAATAACTCTTTATTATTATGACAACACCTTCCAGGATAATAATAATACAAATTCCAATGTATATCAAGGTAATTTTATAGCTCTGACACTTTAGGTAAGCTAATGGCTATCAACCATTTACCTGAGGTAAATAGTAATAACGCCAAGTTCTTCACGGGCCATTATATTAAGAGTTATGACGCATTCGGTTTAATTTATTATCAGCGACAGAATCTTTACTATACAAGAAAAAATTAGTGTTTAAACAATTTTCAAGTTTTCAATTATAGATGTACAACAATGATTATACAGTGGCTTTATAGTCATTATTCCTGACTCATTACTTTTAACCGGTACGATAACCAACTCAACTAGTTTGTAGAAAGTAAAATAGTATAATCATTAAAAAATATGACGTGATTCAAAAAATCATTAGTTTTGTCAGTCAAATTATAAAAAAATCTACACCTATTAAAATTGAAAAAAATGTTTTCTAAAGTATGTCAATCTATATTGGTCCTAGCTATTACTAATACTTGTTTATGTAGTTAAATTATTATTTTGTTGTCATGTTATAAATATTATGTACTACTTTTGTACGATTAAAATATACAATACTGATGTAAAAATAACACAGCTCATCATTCTACTACTTAAAACTGGTTAACATTTTGAAAAGTACTTAACGTCGTAGTTTTCATTAATGAATTTCTCTTCAAGTACAATTTATCTCGGCTGATGCAAATTTAAACGAAATCTGTCTATGTCCGTTTGACGGTTGAATGTACCAACATATAAGATATTTTAGATATAGATAGTTTTTATTTGGGAAGCGAAAATAATTATATTTTTTATTTATTTCAAAATATACGTTATTTTAAAATACAAATTGAAAGATCTGCATTGTTTTTTTTCCTATATAATAATATTAAGTAATATATATACTATACGTACAATTTTATAATTACAACTAGCCTTAATGCCCACAGAAATAAAAAAAAGATAATAAATTACAAATCCGTATATTTTAAAATATGTACTGGGAATTATCGAGACAATTTCGGAAGAGACAATAATTTTATTTTATATATATATATATATTTAAATTAATTCTAGCCGCAGACATTGTTATTAAAGTGTACACAAATATTCATTTCCATGGTGTCACGTTATAATAGTTAACAGTCCTAAAAATATTTTTTGGGCATCTTACAATGGCAAAAACTATTATTAACGTTTTTATAAAGCCCATAATTTCATTTAAAAACGGTATTAAAAATTAAGGAATGTTATCGTTTTTAGGAATTTTTACACTTCAGGTCGGAGTTCTTGTTTTAGCCACATCTTTTACAGTAAGTACCAGCTTGTTGAGCGTATTCCACAATTTGTATATTGGATGATTTAAATATTCGTTGCCTGATATTATAACTAATTCTAAAACTTTATTTTTACTTTTGCGAGTTAAAAAAACCAATCGCATTTTCCAAAAATGAAATCAATCGACATGGTGTAATTTAATTTAATTTTACAGTAACCAAATAACCTAATGTGTAAGTATGACAAAAAAAAAATGTATTTTACCAAAACTGGACTTATTTTCAAGTACGTCAAATCTTATGTACATTTTAAACAAAATAACATATCAAACAAAACATTTTATTCTCTTTGTTTTGATGTATATTTTAATATTTAACTAGATTTGTTGTATGAAATAAAATAATTCCCAATAGTAATTTTGGTAATATTTCACCGTTTATATGTCCTTTTTCGGGAACATCTACATCATCATTGATAATCAGCAATTTTGTAAACAAATGAGTTTTTTTAAAATAGCTGTACAACCTTGAACTCCACCCCCCCCCCTTTTAGGAATTTATTTTAAGAAGTCTTTACTAAACGGATGCCTACGTCGTACAAGGAACCTACCTGCCAAATGTCTGGTGTATATAGGCTTTATAATTCCTCAAGTTTTGTGATGAGTCTGTGGTATTTCGCTTGCATATAGATAATGTTAAGCTTTTAATATTATATTTTGCACTGTCTGAATTATTATATTTATTAACTATACATGTTTTAATTATATAATACATATTTTTTCTATTTAGACTTTAGCATTTTGTTCAAACCTCAATAATATGTTGAAATTGGATTCAGAAACACCGCGTAAGTCGAAGCTTTGTACATTACTGAAAGTGCGCATTTTAGAGTGGGGGAAGGGGGATGGGGTATATTTACCTTTTCTCCCCCGATTAGTATTTTTATTGAGTATATATTGTGTACAATGTAATAATATACTCAACGGTATTGTTTAATAATGCTCGCAGAAATATAAACCTTAAACGCTGATGAAAATTACCCTCCTCCCCCTCTTAAATGGTGACAGATATGTGCTTGTATTATTGAAATTTATATTATTATGTTGTATTTTATTCGCAGTACCGTGGGTGATCATGTTACTTTGTAATATATACATGATAATAACTTGGGGCCTGTCAATTGTAGGAGCAGTTTCAGTTAGTAAAATTTGTTGTATTTTGTAAAATTATATTTATTTTTTTACACAATACTCAACGGTTTTAGGAATCGTTCAAGCTAATCAGAAGTTCTTTAATCATGTGGACCATTTTTATTTTTGTTTGGATGTCACTGTTTATTTGGTCAGTGTTTCCTTCCGGCGTCAGGTAATTATATAAAGCTTTTAAAACTAACAAATGTTAAATTTATGTATGCTTGTTTTTCTTAAATTATGACGGCTAAGTTCCACAGGGATTCCGTTTTAATTTTATCCAAAATAAGAAATCGCTAAAATTTCAAATCCATAGGCGCAATTTCAATTTTTAACTTGGGGGGGCTGGAAATTTTTTTAAAATATATATATATAAGTAAATATATTTTTGTATTTCAAAATTGTATGCATAACCTAATTTTTTGGGGGGGCTAAGCCCCCCTAGCCCCCCCGTATTTGCGCCTATGTTCAAATCCCTAACTCAACAATCAGTTCTTCCTCATGAGTTTTTTTTTAACATTTGATAAAACGTTTAACTTGTTAACTTGCAAAAAAAAAAACACGACACTTTAAAATCCTTCTTTTGATATTTCGTTATAACAATTTTGTTATAGCAAGTTTTCCATTAGTTTTATTGGGGCTGTAACTTAAAAGAAATAATTTTTATCGTGAAATATTATGAAAGTGATTATGAAGAGTACAATTACTTAAATATTTTCTAAAACTGGAAAATTTAGAATTAGTTCACAAGTTAGAATTTTTCAAATGGTCAAATGTAATAAGAAAATAATTCACGATGAATTAATTGAGAGTTGAGCTTGAGGGATCTGTAGTTCTAGAGATTTCTCATTTGAATAGACCATATGGACTGGGGTAGGTCTCGCTCTATTTTGTTCACACACAAACCAATGTTGATGGAATTTGGTTCTTTCAGTAACGTTTGCGTACGCGACCATTGCCCAGAAAGTTTATGGCTGGTAGACAACGCCTGGCAAGAGACCGTTTATTGCGACGGAGCTAACGCTGCTAACCCTCCAGCCGATAATAACGACAAAGGACTTGGTGAAAACGTTACAGCGGCGACGGCGACAGTAATAGCGCTCAAGTTTCGCGACAGTGATACAAGTGGTACTCTGAAAGTTCTAGCACACCGGAGTACAGAGTCCAATGAATATTATGGACTTGGCGAAAACGTTACAGCGGCGACGACGACAGTAAAAGCGCTTAAGTTTCGCGACAGTGGTGATACAAGTGGTATTTTCAAAGTTCTAGCACACCACAGTACAGAGTTCAATGAATATTATGACGACCCCGACAACAGACTTTCCGCGCAAAACGTTACGACGACGGCAGTAAAAGCGCTTAAGTTTCGCGACAGTGATACAAGTGGTACTTTGAAAGTTCTAGCACACCCGAGTACAGAGTCCAGTGAATATTATGACGATCCCGACAACAGACTTTCCGCGCAAACATTCGAAAGCAACGGTATGGGTCCAACACGAACACAAGCCAAGAAGAACAAATACCGGAGCCAACAAAGCGCCATCATCATCATGGTGCTCACATTGTTGATGTTTTTCGGTAAATACCGCCAGAGCCGGATTTAATGACTCGGGGATCTGCCCGGATCCTGGGCTTCCTGAGACCCGTAGTAAATCAATTACCGCACAACAACTCGACCGAACCTGGTCTAACGCTAACAAACACTATCCAATTTGGCAATGTAACTCTGATTACTTTTGATAGCATACAGAAAATTACCGAACTAAACTCTAATCACAAGTGTAGATGAGCGTAATGGTGGTTTAAAGTGAGACGGGGACGGTGGGCCTATAGTTTGCCCGTTTACGATATTTACCTGTTAATTTATAGACAAGCTAGTAGAGATTAGAGTGAGAGGAGAGACGGTTGACGAACGTAATCAAAGTAAGGATGAAAAATAAGGATCTTCATGGAACATTAACATTTAACCATCCTAACTACTCGCCCTACAATCACTTAGAACTATGTCCTTAACTTTTCCGTCTACCCTTCCAACAAAGGCACACATCATGGTATTTTGAATTAATAAAGCATATCTAGAGAGAACTTTTTTAAAGTAAACGGTCGGATAGAACATTTAGACATCGAAAACCGCTATTCCTACATTGTTCCGATGTCTATTTAATAGAAATACAAATATATATATATATACCATTTATCTAGAATTTGCTCTCCCTCGATAACATAATCACATACAAAAGTTATATTTAATATAACTTCTTTTTTTTTTTTTAATCTTTTCGTTCTGAGTGTATTAAAGATTTTTTTAGGCAAAAAACTTTATTTTGAATGTTTAAAAAATGCACAACATTTAGCTCAGGTAGCTAAATCGCTTAAAAAAACATTAGACGTACGATAACAGTCAAAATATTATACTGTATAAATTATATTATTTTTTACTCGTTTATCATTGGCCATAAAAACGTATTCCGCTCATTTGAAAAATCTCATGTATTAAAAAAAAAATGTTTACCCCAACATAAAAATATTGAACTGTGTTTCAGGTTATTTCATATTTGCGTGGGTGATTCTTCGAAGTTACATGAGGTGTTTAAAACAGAAAATCATATGTGAAGCATCAAGAACTGCCGGACAGCCCTGTGTAAATGAAATGCATGGTAGCTGCTAAGACTTCAACGACATTTGCATTTAGCGAATGTTACTAAACATGTAAAAAGCAAAAAGAAATCTTCAAAAAAAAAAAGTTCCTACAAATGAATTATAATATTTTACAATGAACGCTGTCCTATACTAATATTCGGTGCCTATTCGTTTCATAATATGTTCCTAAATAATAACCAATTCTATTGTTTGTTTACTATTACTGCAAATTGCATACAACTATCCATTGTTATTAGGTACCGATTCAGTAGCCCAAATGGCAAATTCTAAAACAATGTCCGAAGATATTATCTGTAATTGTCTGTATCTATAGCTGTTTATACACGTCATGTTAAATTGTATTTTACTGTTATATTGGAATCACCACAGCTGTAACAACCCTCGTGTGATAATTTTACTAATGTCAAGGATTCCAACGCTCCCACAAAATAATGTGAAACCCAATTTTCTATCTAAGTATCGTATATTATATATTTTCTTATAATATTTGTCTCCAAGTGCTAGTTTAGTGTTTAGTTTACTTTTAGCCAGACAACGAACGATACCTAAATTTCTTTTAACACTTGTTTTCGATGGTCATTTAACTACATCTAAATTTACCAACCATAATGTTAAAATCTAGTGGTACCTATATATCCGATTGGTACCTACTATTAGAACCATGCGAACGTCCAAGGTCCGATGATAAACTCTTTTTATTTAAGATCAAGGCTTAAGTCTTACCAAAAAAATCAGGCCTCGTTTGACCAACAGCTCTCAAGGGTAAAGACTTCTAGGGTTTGGTAAATAATATTATAACGATTGTATGAGATTGCAATCTATTAACTGTTGAAATTAAATCAAAATTAACTACATGACTAAACTAAAAACTGAATTGGTCAAGTTTATGCCTCGGGCTAACTTTAGCAATGGCTACGGTATTTTCTGCACTTAACATAGCTACAACTACAGTATATTATAGCTATGAACATTAAAATCTAGGTAGTAGAATATTCAATTCTATAGAGATTAGCCGTATAAATCATACACTGTTCGCCACATATAATTCTTCATATAAAATATTGTAAATTCTAAATTTTATAGAGAGAAGTCTGTTAAACGTTATCACTAATTATTAAATTTTATTTAAAAAAAATGAAAGGTAAGGCTACTCCTGAATCTGAGTCTAACAGTTTAAAATTAAAAGAACAAATTAAATACAACATTTAATTATCTATTTGTACGATACACCCATATTTTAAGGTATATACACAATATTGTCTTTATTCAAATAAAAATTAAAAAATTATTTTTTAAAAAAGGTATTTAAGGGTATATTATGATGTAGTACAAATTGTAATCATTTAGGTTGAATTTTTAATTTTAGGTCATTGCTTGCATACCAAGTAAACATATATGAAACTATAAGTAATTGATCACTTCATTGATACAATGAAGGACCATTCATTACCAAATGATAATAAACTATCGTTGCAATTAATTTTTTCTTAATACCTAATCTACCGATGAAAAAAACCATAATAACATGCCAATTAGATAAAATATTAAAATTTATACTTACATTTAATTATAAGTTATTCAGTTTGATTATATTTGTATACCGATTTGCTGACTTGGCGAAAAACTATTTAACATTTTCCTTATACGACATACGTTTTGTTGACCTGATCAATATTGTCTAATCTGTTTATCTATTGAACAATATAACAAATAAATGATATGATTAAAAATATTTTTTCCTATTAACTAATAGAACAATCAAGCGAAGCCAGTTAAATCATATAAAATAGATTTATTAACCATTTAAACAAGAATTTTTAAACACAGAATTCTCCTTTTAAATACCTACATTGAAAAAGGTCGTATCATTGTGGAGTTTGTATTTAAAATTATTTAACTAGGCAATAATAAATACAAATATTATTAAAATATTCTTACGGCACAAGTTTTACAGTTCTCAAGTTCTGTAAAAACCTTTATATTATAATAACGTCAATAGTGTAAAAAAAAAAATGTTTACTACTAATAATATTAAATATTACAAACAATTTGTACAAATATTAATTTTTACATAACAAACGTTCTTATTGAAATGTAAATCAGTCATCGCTATCAGTGTCGTCCGAGTCTAAACTACTGTCTGAACTCGATATTTGTAATTTCTCTAGTTGATTTTCAATACTAGCATCATTATTTTTTAAAGTTTGTTCCAATATTTCCTTGTCTTCCATTACACTCATAGCGGCCATTTCTAATACATCTAAATCCAAGTTGACAAGTTCCTTGGTAATGTTGATATTATCATCAAATAATTGTGTAATATTTTCAAATTGTACACTGTTTAATTGTTGTACCCATATGCAGTAATCTTTAATATAGAGTTGGTTAAAAATGTATCTGGGTTCGTCAGAATTAAATATTTTATAAATATCTAACAAACATTTGAGTAAACATATGCAACCGTTTTCAAATATCTTACAAACATCATTTAGGACCATAGTGCTCAATTTCCAATTCCTATATAAAGGATAGCATAAACTCCGTCGTACACAAGAAGTGAGAGTTTCATCAAAGGTATTAAAACTTCGGAACCACGAAAGTGTCGATGACAGTTTATTGATAAGCCAACCTGACTCACAACTTTCATCGCCCATAAATATTCGAACATTGTAGCTATACGCATACATTATATCAACTAAAGATAAAATAGCTGATTTTTTATCCTCTTTACTCAGTATATAGTTTTTATTACCAAATTGCTTTAAAACGTCTTTTTCCGATTCATTTAAAGTTTTCGAGTTTTCAAACCAAAATGGTTTGAAATTTATAATTTCTTCAATTTCGTCTGGTTCTGCCATCAAATCAGCTAAATAATGGTCATCGGAAAAATCAACGAGTTCTTTAGCGATTTGTAATGATTTTCTTTGATCAAAGCTTATATCATCAGGATTTTGAAGTTCAACAATTTCAAAAAATTCATCGTTCAGGTTTCTGAAAGCATTTTGAGTTTGGTTTGCAAATCCATACTTCATACTGCTTTTGTTTTCATCAGATAAAGGCGTTTGGAAAAATTCACAATTTATGTCATCATCAGTTTCATCGTACGAACTTTCACCGAGTATTTCAATGGATGGGCTTTGAATAAGTGGTTTTTTAGGTGTAAGAAATTTGTTTATGAGATTTAAATCGGAGAAGTGTTCTCCGGGAGTTGCTTTGCTCAATTTGAAAGTATAAGTATAAGTATCCCAATCATAAGAGCCAGAAGAAGAATCGTTCTCGACAACTTCTCCTGGTAGATGAAGTCGTAAGTAATACGGGGAAGCATAAAATGTAAACTGATTACCATTTACGTCTGTATCAGTATCCGCCACATTAGCAAATCTAGCCTTGATTTTAATGAACAGATGATCAGCCGTTTGACTCAACTCGAAATTAGGTGTAAGCATTGTCGAATCTCTAAAACAAAAAATACAAAGTTAGTAATAGTATAAAATGTATTCTTAATTATAAAACTAACTACTAATTTTTTTATGGAAACTGAAACAAATTGATGAGTTATACAATTTTTAAATTAACTATTCTTGTTTTTAATAGACGATTAATTAAAATTAAATTATGAATTGTGTAAAAAATTAATTTCAAGGTTTTGGTTATATCTATTGAGTGTGGGGTGTAAATTAATACTTTTAGTGAACTTTTACCTATTTAACTCCAAACTTATGAAATATTTTACATATCTCTCAATTTTGAAACTAAAGAAATACATATTAATAATCGCTTTGCCTCTCCTCTAAATAATAACCAATTTGAATGAAAATTTTGCTAGAACATTTATTTTAGTTTACTATGTTAAAACAAATACGAGGTCGTTTTTAAAACAAACTTGTTTTTATATCATTCTTATAAGATGTATACTACTTAAAAATGTTGGTTATTTATATTTTAAATAAATGTGTTAAATTAAATTATTGCCATTTTTTTTTATACATACATATACATAATATATAAATTAATATTATACATTTTTTTATTTTCAATATGTTAAATTGTAATTTTGATTGTTTACACTAAAGTTACTTTCTCTTAATATATATTTTTGAGCTGTTTTGTAATTTAAAATAGAAACGATTAAGAAATAAAAGAAAAAAAGTGGTTATAGCAGATAAGGATTATTTTCTTGATAAAGATACACTATTTTAGCTTTGATCATAGCTGAGAAGTCACTGTTTTTACAATGTTTTTTTATTATTATTTTTTTTTTTTTTTGTATCTGGACCCACAATTACTTAAGCAAGAACAAATATTAGAAATTGTTTCTATAGGTACTTTATTGTACCAAAAATTAAAAAAATTCATCCCTTTCCTTTCAAAATCGAGATAATATCCAAACAATTAATATATTTTTTAACTTAAAGTTACGGCAGACTAAAACTTTTTTAAGTATTGTTTCAAAAATTGTATGGAATATTCTTTAGAGTTTAGATTAAGTACTAATGATAAACGTTGAAAAATAAACAAATTATCATAAACTTCTAGAAGGGGTAACAACTATTTTTTTATTTTATTTTTTTTAGCGATATTTAGGATTAAAAAAAAAAATAATTGAAAACTACACATGGACCGCAGTTAATTTCTAGGTTACATGTGAGTGGTGAGTGAATCAACAGTTAACGGGTATTTGAAAATATTTTCATTATACCTGTTGTTAATTACAATATATGAATAACAACAGCAACTAAATATTATAGGCACGAGATCAACTCTTAATCATAATCTCGCGAATACTCAAAAAAAAAATTTATAGAGTATTATGGCTTTTATTTTTTTGTTTTAATATACAACCTAAACTAACCATGTTTACACGGTTCACTCTGGACGATCATTTTGAATGAATTCACTAGAAATAAACCCTGTAAATATCAAAATTATCCATAAAGATCATTGGGGATAAACAACTTACAAGTTGGGTCAGGTCCACTTCAGTTCACTTTAGACGGTTCATCCAAAGTGATCATCCTGAGTGAACCGTGTAAACTCGACTTAACATTACAAATAATTTATTAGAACATCTCCACATGTACAAAAAAAAAAGTCATGAGAACAACAATTTTGTATATACTCACTGTTATTTTAATTTTTAACCGTTCCAGTTACAACCGGTACAAATAAATAACAATAATACACAACACTGAACACACGTTTATTCAAATATCATCATAAAACAAATTATTTTTTCATTTAAAACATTTTATCACGGTCAGATAAAACAATAAATTTGTTATCAATACAAACCATCAATGTGATACCACAGATAAGATAAATCATCTTATCTGTGGTGACACCTTATCACTGATAATAACGAACAGATTCAGAAATCATAATTCGGAAGGAGTGAATTGTTATAGCAAATAACAATTAACAATTAACAAGTTCTGCTGGGTTGCATAAAGAATTAATACATTTAATGAACCAAACACGGGCAATTAAACACCTTTTGGTTCATTAAACATAAATTTACACTCATTAGTCATTAAGCATTAATTAGCACTACCAAAATACATTTGAATTGTATGTTTTGAGGAACGGGCATGAAGTATTATCGTTTAATTTTATGAGGCCTGACAAGGTATGAAACAAATAAAAAACTAAAATTCTAAATAGGTACTACTTTACATATTACAGAGCAATTAAAATATTTCTTAACCGAACAATGTTGTTATTGAAACATTTACAGTTTATAGTAAAAAAACAACGATTTCAAAAAGTTGGTTAGTATCTTAAAATCATGTTTAACAGAAAATTAAATATTTAAAAAAATACTATTAAAAATCTCCTTTTTTTTTTTATGAAAAATATTTTTGTTAAAAATGTTTGAACATTTTTAAATCATTCATATTTTATTGCTGTACGAGTAACAATGGTTTTGTGGATAACATACACATAAACTGAGATCAACAGCAATATAAATAGTATTGAATTTGATGAATTATTTTTAAATAAATATAGTAGTATGAATATAAATAAATAATGCCAAGAAAGTGTCTATTAAAAGTTCTTATCATTCTGGATCAATTCAGTAGACCATTTTTTAAATTATAAAAATGATATATTATGAATAGTGCATATATTCAGAAACAATCTTTACTGGCTAGGTTATATGGCTCACTTCTCAACAAATATATCCGTACCCCAGAGCGAAGGGTATTAAGTCATAAAATGTAAATTTTTCAGGAGAGCAAAATACAATAATTATTTATAACTATTAATTAAATTAATTTAAATGGATAAACTTAGATGGGCTCATCTAAGAGTCCAAATGTTGTGAAAGGTAGATCGGTGAAAAGAGCGCAAATTTAAATCTAGGTGAACTAAAAAACTGGGAAACCAAAATTTTTGACCCGATACACTTGCTCTAAAATACAGATCTTGCATATACTTTATTTTTTCACCGATAAACCTTATCAAATTTCAGAAAAATCTAGAAGATAATAACAGCCTTTCAAAATTGTCCCTTAAATTAACTAATTTTTAAGCAAACTGGCACACTTTTGCAATATCATGAATAGACGCAGGGCATATAATTTACACCAACACTAATAGGTACTGTTAATTGTACTTTCGTTTAATTTGTATTAAACATTAATGCCTTAACAAATTTAATAATAAGATGTAATAAAATGAAATTAATAAAAGCAATATGTACACACAAAACATATATAAAAAAATAATAATATAATTAAAAAAAAATTAAGTATGTTGTTGTATTATAATGTTAAGTATAATTAAATAAAATACATGTTAACAATATATTATAAACTAAAACCCTGTATTTAAATTATTATGTCAATGTCAAGTGAATCACAAAATCATAAAAATAATATAATAAGTAATATGTAAATAATAATAAATATGACATTATAACTCATGTAAAAATAATTTAACTCACATTTGTGCAAAAGTAATAACTATGTCAACCAAAATATTTAATTTTTTTTTCTATTAAATTTATAACAAAAATTGATCTAGTAGCCATTTTTAATATTCTGCCAACTAATAAAAAAAATTTGAAATCGGATCGTGGATACTTCATAATGTTATAGTTAAGTTTGTAAAAAACTTGATGCTTTCCATTCCTCTTAATAATTGTCGTGTTAATTGCATTTCTCTGCTTCGTTTCTCCCAAGGTTGAACGGCGATTATAAGAAGTACATGAGTCGGTCCAAAGCAGGGTTAGGCGCTCCCGCCAATGTTTGGCCAGTGAAATATGCTAATTTATGTGCGAGTTGACAAGGTGCTGGTACACGAATAGTGCCCTACAACAAAACACATCATTTTTATTGGCTATCCAATTACATCATGCTATTGAATAATTCCAACAGTCTACTTACAGACCAATTGTAATACATGTGACATAATTTGTATGTTAGTGTTTGCATGTATTCAGGTTTGAGGTTTAAAGTATCCTCGATAACGCGGTAATGTGTAGGCGTCACAGTGCTATGTCTTAACTGTTGAGCAATGAGGTAAAAATCATACCTGAAATTTAAAAAGAGAAAAAAAACGGTATCAATAACTACAGAGTTCCATGTACTATGTTTATCTATAAAACATGATTCAGCGTTAGCCAAATATTAATTGAATAAAAAAAAATAAGACCCCTATATTTTTTAAATTGTCCATAAATTTCTATATTCCTTTAAAGCACACTTAATCGGGAATCGTATTTTTAGTTATACTCCAAAATTATAATACAATTTTACCAAACAATGTTTGGTTTTCTTTTTAATTTAAAAAAAATACTATTTGTACTCATTCCATACTTGAACTAGGTGTAACAAACACATTTTTTTTTACTTTTAAATGTCTGATTCTATAAAAAAAGTTTTATTAACTTTGAAAATGTCCATCTTTATGTTACACTCAATTTCAAAATATTTAAAAATATATAGGTAACATTAAAAATTGTTGAAAAAATTAAGAAATTAGTGGTTTCATTGGGCTTAAAAGATAAAAAGTTATTTGAACTCGTATATATTTATATATAATATATTAAACTATATAGATTTTGAGTTAAGACAAAATTGTATATACAGTATAAATAAACATTTCTATGTGTCAAGTGACATTATTTTTTAAATTATTTTGTGTAGGGCATTTTGCTAAATAAATAGTACAATATTTTTTTTAAATGCCTGAGAATTGTTTATAACTAAAGATTTATTATTTTAAAAATTGTATTTAAAAACTATGATAATGAAAAATTATTTACAAATTTAAATTTAAAAAAGTTAGGTTAGGTCAATCGACACTGCATTAAAAAGTAAAACAAGATATTAGCACATGGATTTTTTATGCTTTGAACAGTATTAAGTATAATATAACAACGGCGGCCTTGACCAAAAACACTAATTAATGAGACAACAGGCTGTTTTTTGCCCAAAATTTAATTTCTAGTTATTTGCTCTACCATTTAGGATTTGTATGCTCTTTCTAACATTTCAGCGCGAGGCCCTGGACGTGAGCCCCATCTGCTCCAGTGGGTCAAAAATCCAAAATGATAACATCAAATAAGGTATTATGTATGTATTAATCAAAAAATCTATGTAATAGTTCAAAGGCTTGGTATAGATATAGGTATTTTGTTTCAAACATACTACAACAAACTAAACAACATTTTATAATAAAAAAAATAACAAAATAATAATATTTTCTTACTTGGTAGGAACAGTTACGACACTATCAACGATTGTACCTGCTGGTGGATTTTGAAGCCCTTCTTTAGTAAAAAAACGGGCGGTTATTCGTTTAGTAACAATTAAAAACGCCATCGGAACAGAATTCTCGCCATAGAATTTTTTGCAGACAGCCTTAAATTACAAATAAATTTTAGTAACAAGTTGTTTGTTGTAAAACAATTTATTAAAAAAATCATTCACTTTTAACATTGAAACTTCGGTTTTATGCACATATGGTATTTGCCCTTCACCAACTCCATCTCTGTAGATTATTAGGTATTTAGGCAATTGATTGTTTACAATTCTATATGAGTGCAAAGCCTCTGAAATTATATTATACTTTAGAATAACTTTTAAGAGAAGAATTTGCTAACACATTTGCATAAGAATAACTTATCATAGTTTACTTACTACTCATACTAGTAGCAAAATGATTTGACAATTCTTCTCCGACTGCATGGGGCTCGACACAGCTAAATACAGAGGTATGCGAGTCGCCCAACGTGGCTATCAATGCTCCATAAGAGATTTTTCTACTACCCTTTAAGGTATGATACACATCAAAACCGACTATCATCATACCCTAAATAATTTAAATAATTTTTAGATAACATGGTAGGTTAATCATTTTGTGTTCTGTATACCTTCCTAGGTATTGCAACGTGCCATGGAGCACCTCCGATTTTACAATTCATCTGGATAGCGATTTTCGTGGCGACTGACAAATTGTTTTTTCTAACGTTTTTCAGTAACACCACTTGAGATGGTACTAAGGTAAAAGTTTACACAACATATTTTAATAAATGTACATCACACTCAAATTAACGCTTTGATGCGAAACCGTGCTATCAATGGTTAAGAATTATTAATTATAAAATATATTAACCATATTTTGGGGGTTTTCTAGCTTAAACATTCTTCTTAAAAACTAAAACCTTCGCATCAAAGCTAAAATTATGCATAGTTTATAGGATTAAAATGGGTTTTTACCAGCTCTGTCTATACACAATTTTCGTTTAATTACATTGTATAGCTGTCCACTAGGTGGGATTGCACAAAGTACCAACGTAGGATTGTATTCGTTTATTTTTTGTTCCAATTTAATTAAAACAGTATCACATCGAGTATTTGGCACTCCAACTCTAACAAAATAGATAAAACGTTAACATGTAATTTGTCGATACGTTGACATAAATCTCAATTTAATAAGAATAATACTTACATAACAGGTTGTGGTAATTTAAACGACATTCCTCTTGCTGCCTTTTCAAGAGACGAAACAAACACTTTTACATCATCGATGTCTTGCTGAGGGGCTAAAATAACCCAACATTTCATCAATGCACAAGCATACATTGGTTGGCTACGTACAAATGTAGTCCAGTCAGCTTCAGTGCCTCCTGTATATGATTTTGTGTTGCTAGAAATGTTTTCGTTCTTCAAAACACGAGCAGGCACTTCAACTAAAGTTTTACTGAATTTCAAGTCCCAATTCTTTAGTTCATCCACGGACTTCATCAAATAATTTACAACAAATTGAGTTTATTTCTAAAATAATATTTAAAGACAAAAACAAAAATTACTTACTTCTTTATTAGACACCAACTGTTCCATAAGAGAATAATAACGCTTGATACGCGCGTTTGGACTTAACTGTGTGTAGGCAGCCACATCTTTCATAACTTTAAAGTTATTTCTGTAATATAAATTATAACAAAATAAGATTAATTCTTTAAATACTGAATAGTTAATTATAGATTTTATTGTCGATGCCCAAGACTAAATTATTGACCAACAATAATAATTATATAATATAACAACAATGGTTATTGTTCAACATAACAGAATAATCAAATATAACGTTTTAATTGACATAATAAAGTACTGCAATACATTGTAATTACCGCAACTCATTGGTTAGTCCAGTAACTTTACAAAATTCAGGAACTAAATACACTAGAGTATCTTCCGCTCCGAATTGTCGCACAGATTTCTTTTTGTATTTCGATATCAACATTGGTTGTCTTCCACCCCGTATATCTAAATTCCATTGCTAAAAGTTTAACAAAACTCTATTTTTACAACAAAATTCAGTTACAACAAAATTAAATTGTCTATACTTCTTTATAATATTGCTGATACGATATTTGTGTGCCATCTTTTTTAGAAAATGTTGATGAAGGATCCGAGTTTTCATCGACATCGTCAATACGATATGACTCATTGTTGTACATAGTCATAACAGTAGTTCCAATAACGTTATTTTTAAACGCCATCTACAAATGTAAAATATTTAAATACAACAATAATAACTTAATGGAAAAAAAAGGCCAGCAGGATATCGGAAAATTCCCATTGGGCTAAAGTCTAGCCACTAGACAGTTTGTTTGTCTTCTAAGAGGGTAGGCTAGATACAAGGTTTAGTCAAACAACTAGTTCCTTAAAATAATTTTTTGTAGAAAATTTTAATATTTTTTTAAGTTAAAGTACTAAATACTGACAAATTATAGTGAATACACAATTTCCCGCATGTTTTCTAAATTAATGTATTTTTTTTTATTTTTTAAATAATGGTGAAGATAGATTTAGTAGGTCAAACTTACTTTTAAAGTTATTTAATAGGCCTTCGTATATTTCATTTTTTAGAAAAAAAAACAACAATTAAAGTAACATTAAGAAATTCAACTTAAATAAATATTAATTAATTTTTAGTCGGAAATTTTTGGTTAAGAATAAATTTACATAATATTTGTATTTTTCAAGTGGTGAACCCAATAAAAAATGTTGTTTTTTTTACAGAATTTAAGTATAGGTGGTACTCATGTATAAATGGGGAAAGCCTATGTGTAAGTCTATGTAGAGTAATATATAGAGTATGAAGATGAGGACAAGAGATTGATGGGATAAGACGAGTAATGACAAATATATTGTGACGTAGTAAACGAGGTTGAGAGTTTTAAGTATTCAGGATCTTATAGGTCTTTTGATCTTTTTTACAAAAGAACGATGGCTTTGATGAGGATGTAAAACATAGGATAAAGTGTGGTTTGTTCAAGTGGAGAGAAGCGTCAGATGTTTTATGTGATAAGAGAACTCCAATGAGACTTAAAGGTGAATTCTACAAGAGTGTTGTGACACCGACTATGTTGATCACTATGTTAGAAAATAGAACAGATAATGGTTGTAGCAAAGATGAGAACGCTTAGATGGATGAATGCAGTGCCGAGAGAAGATAGGATAAGGAACGATTACATAAGGGGTAGCATAGGCATGGCTTCGATAGAAGATGAAAAGAGAGAAAATAGACTGAGATGATTTGGGTATGTCAGATTTGGGTAGAAAGAAATCAGAAGCAGGTAGAATGGTAATAAATATAAACGTAGAGGGATAGGAATTTGGAATAGGAAAACCAAAAAAAGGTGGTTACAAGCGATTGAGAATATGAGGACTACTGGTGTATGAGAGGATAATATAAGAGATTGTGTTAATTGGAAGTTAAGAACAAGGGTGGTCAACTCAAATTAATTGGGATGAAGCCAAAGGAGAAAAATATTGCAACATTTCATTAACACCTAAATCTAACAATATAAAATACAAAAATTGAATTACCATCCATTCTGGATCCTTGTTTCTGGTAGCAGCATACTGATGGAAAATTCCTAATACTGTTTCTTGACGCATTACTCTTGTCGTTATATCCATACAAAACAATATTTGATTATTTTCATACCTTGCAATCGACGTCACGTATCCTGGCAAAAGTTGGAGTTTATGTTCTGGTATGTCAAACTAATATGAAAAAATATACATAAATTAAAACTAACAAATATTTGCTTTTAATTTAATATTTAGAATAATGTACTGACTTTAGCTTTCAGATCGAAAAAGTTTTTACCGATTAATTTCAAATCGATATACTGAATACATTTACGCATAAGTATACTGAACACTTGGATGTAAGCGTAATCACTATTATTCAAAACATTTGTGAACTTAATTTTTAAAGTAAACATCTTATTATCATGACGGCGTTGAGATGTCAATTCAAAAGACTGAAACAATAATAGTACAAAATTATTCAATACACCATACAAAAAACCACACATTTATTATTATACTACTTGCCTCAGGTTGTAATCGAACATTTGTAAAAATCCTAGTTCCATCAAATAAATAGCCACCACCAAAACGTTGACGATGCTGGCCTAACAAGTTTTTTTTTACTCCAATATGATCTTCTTCTGGACTAAAGGTAACATAGTACTGGTATAATTCCCAGGTTGTATGTGAAGTTATTGGAAAATAGTTTGCAATCAATTTCAGTTCAGATCCCATAGAACCTTATAAATCAATTACATTTTTTAATAAAGCTATAGACAACTCTACTAAATCATTTGTTGCCAGTAGTCAGGAGTAATCTATGGACAATTAATGTTTGACCAAAATAGAGCCAAAAGTAGAAAGAGTAGAAAAACTTCTGGCCAAAAAAATTAACATAAAGCATGAAATAGAAAAATTAAATCATATCATTGTGAAACCGCCAGCTTTTTGAGTTATCTAATTATAAATACAAACAAATATGAAGCTTATAATTAAAAAAATACAAATACCTCTTTTTCCCGTTTCACCTAAAGAAGACTCGGGGCGAGGTATTATGTAGTTTTCATTAGACTTATTACGATCACTTTTAAGTGGCGGACCAAGTGATACATTAGCATCTACACAAAAAATAAGACAAATTAAAATAATTTCAAAATACATTTTTTAGGAAGACTTATATCATTACACTATTATAGAATACAAATTAAATTTTACCTGCTGTTACTAACTTCTTTAAATCTCTTGTAACCTCATCCACCTAAAAAAAAAATGTTGATAATATATGTTTATAAAAATAATTGTTTTGCCAATTTATTTATTTTATTTTACTGGTGGCGTAGAAGTAGACGCATTTGGTTGAACTTGAGGTCTTGGTAGTGGACCTGGTGGGCGCATTACTGGCTGCGAATTATTTAGTCGAGGACCAACTGGTCGTAAGCCCCTTGGAATAGGAGGACATACTGGGCGTGAAGATATGCTCTGTCTTAATGACTTGCGATTAATATTATGAGCTCTACCTCTTGAATTTTGACCTCTTATTGGTCTTACACCCTCCATATTTAAACCTGTCAAACAAATTCTTCGATTAAATATTAAGATGAAAATCAATGTTCCGCTATTAATGAAGTCAAGATCACAACTAATATTGAAAATAGTTATCACCAAAAATCTTATTCATCTTAAATTATAATCCTTTTGCATAATTTAACTGTTAGTTAGAGTTAAAAGGGCATTGACTATGCAGAACACATTCTATTTATTCATGGTGGTTTCAAAGCCGAAAACACTTATAACTAAGTCAACAAAAGATTATTTTTTGAAGAACATTTTTAAATCTGTTTTAGCTTTAATTCAGCTAGATGAGCTTGATTAAAATCGATAAATAAAATTGAGTTGCTTAAGATAAAAACTTGTTTGCTTGGTGCCGTCCCTTCATTTTGTTAAACTAAAAATATCCTAGGTTAGCAGGCTACAGTCTAGGAGGAGGTCGCAAAACAGTATAAGAGGCACGAAAACCTGTGACCTCCTCTTAGACTGTAACCTGCAAACTTAAGATATTTTTAGTTTAGCGGAGCGAAGTGAAGGCGTTGAGCGAGCAAGTGCCAAAACACTCGGTGACCTGCTGTCCTATAGTGGGACAAGTAATTGCTTCATTAATAAATGTGTAGTGTTAATTCTTTTATAAAAATGTATAACAATTACAACCCGTTTAAAAAAAAATATTAATTTAAAACATACATCATGAAATGAGCTGAACAATATTTGTTTATTTCATTTCATAACTATCAATCAGCATTTCTTAAATACCAAAAAAAAAATAATAAATAATATTTTATAGGTATTCCATAATAAAAATTGTACTCGAAAATTAGATTATTTAAAAAAGTGATAACTAACAAAACTTGAAAGGGTTTATTAGATAATAACATTGCATATTTTATTTTTATACCATTATTATGATTTAAATATCGGTGCCTACTAGAATACTTCACAAAAAATTTATTGAGCCAATGTAGTACGAGCGACTAATTTAAGGTCTGGTATGATAATGATATAATTGAAAAGTTCTCCGGACAAAGGGCACATATTATGTAAAATGACGTCTTTGAAAAAAAGCCAAATAAAGTTTGTCAACACTTTTATTGTAAAAAAATGTATTAAAATCGTTAAGACTAAAGACCTTAATAACATAATTAATTACCTAATGAAATTATGTGACATATGGGTTTTTTCAAATTATTTCTCTAATAATATGGAGCTTTATGTGCACTTTTTCCGAGGAACAAAAAGTTTTCTTAAACTTTTTTTAAAAACGACATTTTTAAAAAAACAAAATTTTGTAAAAAATAAAAACTAAAAATATATAATCGTAATCAAGATAAGCATTAAGTTTATCTATCACCAGCACGAACTAAGGAGTAAGGACTGGAAACGGCCGCCCATTAATTAGAATTTAGCGACTGTGGTGCGATCTATCTGAGATGCAAAATATTTCATCGATGCCCGGCAAAATTCAATAGCATAAAATCTTAGTTCGTGATTATCAGAATAGTTATTTTATAAATGCCTCAAAATTATACATCCTATGCAGACAGTTCCTATAGTAAAAAGACTCTTAAATATATAATTTTTTAGTAAAATGTCAAACTTTGAAATTACATCACACCGTAATAAAAAAATTTAAGAGCCTGTAACTTCTTAGGGCTTAGGGCTTGAACTAAAAGTAAAAAGATGTTATGCGTAGTTCCAAAATACGGTATTTGAAAAATTCAAGTTCTTACAGCTCATGGTAAAAAAAAGTCTCCATTACCAAACTTTTACCAGATGTTCTGTATTATAGTACTGTACTTTTTCGGTGGACAGGTTAGGATATGTACATATATTTACTCAGTCAGTGTCCTTCACAGACATATACATACTACAGACATATACAGACATGTACGTACTACAATATATACAGATACAGGATGATCAATTTATCGTGAACCACTCACTCTCACTCGGTTTAATTACTTATTTAATTTATTTTTTTTTTCATAATGTTTTTATACAATACAATCTCAATTTCTCAAATTTTTTTTGTTTTTTCGACCCTCCCAACTTAGTTTTTTTGATAGCAACTTTTGAAACTTTAATTGTACCTAACGCATACATTTTATTAACTTTTTTATTTGAGAATAATGTACTAGAAATGTTGACAGGTCGATAACCGGTTTTGGATAACTATTTTTAATGTTATAAGAGTTTAAAAGTTATGATGGGAGGGGAAGTGCGGTTGGGAAATGCGCGCAGAAAAAAATAATACTACACTTCACCTTTCTTCCTGCCCTGAACTTGAAACTTTAAAAAACTCACGTGATACCACTACTTAAAACCCCATTTTACCATGTACCTATTACACATTTCAGTACAGCAATAACAAATTTAATTCATTTAAAACGAATTTACAATAGTGTGACAACAATCGTATTTATCAAAATTATTAAATAGTTTTTTTTTTAAGTAGTTTTGAACGATTCTTGGGCATCTTTAAATGGGTTTTATCAGATCTAAGGAGCGAATCGTTTTTTTTTTAATTTGTTTAATTACAAACCTATCTAAAACCGTATAAATGAAAAACGACAAAATCTTACTTGAAATTATAAGCAATGGCAATGAATCCGTACGTCGAAAATTCAAACGTTGTATGTTTCTTTATGAAGTGCGTTCAACAAAATTAACTGAAAAAAAATGTGCCCGGTAGATTTATACTATTTTATATATTATAATAAAACAATCGCATGTAATTACAAAAAAAAACTAACTTCAGTAAATAATATGAAAGACATTTTACCACTTGGCGACCGACGACCGACAAATACCTTATCCACAAACCTAATGAAGTCTGTGCACTGTGCAGACATTGCAGAATGCTACTGGCGACTTGTTGCCAACGGAACAACAGCTGCAGTGGTGGGGGTTCTACTTTCAGCAGAATTTGGAATACTGAAACCAAATAAACGGTTCACAAATAAGATCCCTTGTAGAGCCTAGATAGCATTATCTAACAAATTGTTTATACAGCCCTTTTTATTATTTATAATAACATGAGCAATAATACTGCTTACTGTAACATATTATGTAAATACATATATATATATATATATATATATATATATAAATCAGTGATTTAAAATCACTAACTAGAGTAATCTTCGAGTAAATTCTGCTTAACAGACATTTGTTTACAACGATACCTTTTTTAACAACGTTTTTTACAATATTAACTACTATCCGGTCACCCGTCACACTCATGATTATTTTGTTTTGATATTATTTCCCCAATATTTTTCATATCACCGATAGCCCGTTATAGCGTTAAACCTACCAATGCCAATTTAGAATGATTTTCAAATAAAAAATGTAAAAAACTATACGTGTCTGGTTCTATTAATATTTGTTATAAAAAAATAAAATAATTGGTTATATTATTGTCAAGTTTTAGCGCATACAAGTGTACCCCCTTGCATGTAGATTCTTCTTTCTGTAGATTACACGGTACAAAAAATATTTTGAAAAACACATTTTTCAAATTTTAATACTATAATATTTGTAAATTATATTTTATAACGAGTAAATTAATCTGAATCTGCGAGCGTATTCATTATTTGCATTGTAAAATTAAATCGGTCGTTTGAGAAACGTCAGAATTTTTTTTCGATGGGAGGGGGGAGGTGTTATTTAAAAAAATATAACAAATGAATTTGTTTTTAATTTTGAGTGATGTACATAATTATAAATTGTATATTATATTACTTTTATACATTGCTGTATTACATTTATAAAATGTTAATTGCTGATTATAGAAAAAAAAAGAAGTTAAAATATTTTAAAATACATTTTTTAATTGTATCTAAATTTATTTAATTTTTCGTTTTGATGATTTGGAAAGTTCATTTACGACATCATTTATTTCTGTATAGATGATGTTTTTATCTTACGAAGATGTCGAGCCAAAATATTTAAAAATGTTATTTTTTGATTCTTTGCTCATTTAAATAATATAAAATAATTAATAAAAAACTAACAATAAAATCTGAAATTACAGTTGTTGTTCTGCGTTTGGTGTAAACACTAAAGACTGACTGTAATTTGTACTGGCATTTCAGCATAGACAATACTTTTATGAAAAAAGCTATTTTAACTATAAATGTAGTCGCTGATTTTCCTTGCAAAGATATGGTAACTTCATTATGTTCACTGAATATATTTTAAATTTGCATATTTGTTATTTCTATGAGTCATTACTCATCGCAGATTTTACGAGCGGTGGCGTTATCGACATGGGTAATAATAATAATATTATCATTATTCATTTATCATAATATACATCTGTCTAGACGGGCCGGCCCTAGCTTTTGCGGGGCCCTGGACAAAATAATTTCCCGGGCCCTTTTTCCAACATATACGTTTAAACAAAATACCAATGTTGTAATTTTACATCAATATAGTTGTATATATATCATTACTACTATACATTTAGATACTTTAAATGTTATGCAGCTTAATAAGTCAATTTTATACTATTAGGTACTTAAACTCTATAAAGAAATGCGAGTATGACACGCTAGCAGTAAATCTAATCACAACAAAAATCCTCCAATAATATAATAATAACACGATTTTTTAAAAAATGTAAACATTTTTGTTTAAAATCTAAAATTTTAGAAAAATGCCCTACATAGTACAAAAATTATGCCCCACGCAGGGCCTAAACATGATATTTAGTTAATAGGCAATAATGGGCATGACTGGGACAAATTAACCAAATTACTTTAATTATTTGACAGTATCGACTACTGATAAAAAATTACGATAAAATTGTCCGCGTCACAACGTGTACTTTTTGAGTATAAACACTTAACCGTTTGCCATTTGGTCTAGATATAGTGCTTAGTTTTATAATTATTGTACTATTTCTTGCTCCTACACAGTCCCTGTTGTTTTGAAAAAATATGTCCTCATATTTTAAAGTTGTTATACAATAATAAATATTTCTGTTTAAAAAAATTATACTATCAAGTTAAATATGGAGGCTGTTTAGGATAATGATTAAGAATAGATTGAAGGATTTATACTTCGTCTTATTTTGTAAGTCGCTAAAATTTATCAGTCAATTTATAATTTTTATAATTTGTAGTACATATATAATATTTATTAAAGTAGTTTTTTGTATTAATTTGTAATTATTTCTTTTGTTTTTAAATCGTATAATTTTGTTTTATTTCATTAAATTGACCAAGACGAATTCTTTCATTGTATACATCAAATATTGACAAATGAACATGCCATCTAGTTTTGGAAATATCGAGGAATATAAAATAAGTCTTTATTTCTGATATTATGGTTATTTATTTTAAAGTAAATATTGGATAACAGGGAGGCCGGAGGAGTCGTCAGTATTATTATAAAGTAATTTAAATGGTAATCTCATATAATGAACTTTTAAAGGTTTTAAATATAAATAATTAAGAATATCTTCAGAGTGAGGGAGTCTGTATAAATTGCATTTAAAACAAATAAAACGAAGAATATTAAGAAAACTTTTTCAATATGATAACTAGGTATGACCCAGACTGGAAGTATATTCCAGTTGAGGAGATAATGGAGATAAAAGTAATTTTAATGTGAAAGGATCATTGAAGTGGAAGTAATTAAGGGAATTCATTCATTGTGAATATTACGTGGATATCAAATAAAAGTTTTGAATCAAAAATAACTCCAAAATATTTAATTTGGGTGGATCGAAACAAATTTTAACCAGATTAAGTATAATTAAAGGAAATAAAATATTGCTTTTTATAAAATAGATGCTGTAAAATTTATTTATATTAAGGAAAATATTATTTGATATACACTATAATTTTCGCTGTATAAACACTTTAACCGTTTGCCATTTGGCCTAGATATATTGCTTAGTTTCATAATTTTATTATTTCTCGCTCCTACTACAATAACATAATATACATAGGTAATTTCAGAATACATGAGAATATATTATGAACATTTTATGGTCATAGTTTACCTAATTATATGTTCATAATAAATACTTAAGAAATCCATAAAGGGGTATGTGGAACCTCTGGTATACACCACACACACGGGACACGTAACTTAACAAATTTAGGTCAGATCAGATGGTGTTTGATCCGTAGTGATCATTCTTACGAGACAAACTGACAAAATGTGATGTTAAGAGCCATATGCTCATATTAGCGAATTTTTAAAGAAAGTTATGCTCTTGCAGTCGTTCAACATTAAAAAAAAAAAAAATTTACCGTAGGCATACTTTAACTGTTAACAGATCAAGTCAATACATCAGCCATCAGGCACCTAAACCATTTCCTACAGTATTGTAATTTCAACTGTACTGTACACGTAATAATTCATAATTGTTATGTTGGTGTCATAAAAGTGTCATACGCACAGTGTATTGTAATACATATTAATTAATCAAGGAAAAAAATATGGTGCTTTTGACCTATAATTAGGTAAAATACCTACAATATGATGAAATAATTTACATAGGTACATAGGTGGGTTATGCACTCCCACGGGAAGGGTTCTTTTAGAAGACCAACGGACTAGTTACCTTACACAATAAATTAAGCCATACTGGAAAACCAAATTAATAAACACAGTGCGCATTGTATCAATGGGTAATTTTGTATTTAATTTGTTGTATTTAGAGATAATATTATACATCAATTCCCATTGGAAGTTTTCTAATGAGCACTGATCGTACCGACTACTTTTACAGTATTTATACGCATTTACATGGACGTCATCCGTTTCCCGCTACCCAATCATATCGTTTTAAAAGAAAACCAACGCCGCGGTTGTGACCATCTGTTGCGGCTATTTCCACCTGCACAACGAGCAGATGTATTATTAATAAATAATTTGAATCAACGTTTTTTGTAGTTGTAACAAATAGTGTACATTTTGGCTTGAAAACGTTTCAATCCCCGATTATCAGTATTAATTACTTGTACGAAATGTATTCAATCATATAGGTATGTCTGACATAAACGAACTTTAGTTTATATCGTTTCAAAAGACATAACTTAACCTTCAAATGTTTTTACAAGTTCAAAACCGGTTAAGCTTGATAGAACTTGGCTATCCAGTATGTCAAACAATTTGCATTAGTATTTTTTTTGGCGAATTTAAGTGAATTACAATCTCAAGATTTTGGGTATTAACAATGTTTTTTTTAAACAGTTAATTGGAAGAATGATGATTCTAACAAAAGTAGCCATAAAAATACAATCCTAGAATTCAACTTCCAACATTGTCGTATCGTTAGGAGTTATTGCCAAAAGGTCATCGAAAAACAAGGTCCATACATGGCCCTTTTTTTAATATTTCAACCAAAGATAAAGATAATGGTTGAATTATAGTTTTTATTTTATACATTAAATTAAAATTGAAATAAATAATAAAAGTAAACATTTATACTTTTTCGTTAAAATTTAAATATTGATAAGTGATAACAATTAATTTAAGCTGATTATCAAGGCTCAATTATTATCAACCAAGCCTTTCATTATCACGAGTAGTGATAATGTAATACCAATAACAGTGTTTACTTTTTATGCCGCCGTTCGCGAGGTTGTTATTATTATGATATATAAATTTAAATTATCAAACGAAATACAATTTGCAAACCATGGAAGTCCGTACAATTATAAATTTAATGTCGAATATGACTTCTACCAATTGTTCCGGTAAGTTTTATAACATAAAATATCATAACGCTATGTTAGCCCGAATGTGTTGATATCGGTTCAGTTTGTAATACAATTTCAGTAGTTTCAAAATTGAACTTTGTTATGCCAAAATAAAGTATAATTTTCCAGACAAACAATTAGCTTAAAATTTTTAAAGCTAATACATATTTTTTGATGTGAACACATCTGTAAATTCAGTGCCATTGCTACGAAATGAGTGTTACTAATACATTTTTTTTAATATATGGGATGTAATAAGGCGTACAGTCGACAGGGTTAGATTGTGACAAATCACTGTAGTGTCATTTGATAGATCGGCTTAAGCTCTTAAATGTACTTCCTTAGAATTGCGCCACATTGGGAGCTTGAGGCTAAACTACTGGCTCGATTTACTTGGTTTTGTTTGAATTTGTAGATCAATCCTCGAGAAAAGACAGCAAGATGTATTCAGATAAATATCTCCAGTTGTAGATCTGACTGTAACCTAATAGTTTTTTTTTTAACGCCATTATAATTGTTTAAAATTTTAAAAATTTATTGGTCGATAATAATCGCATGCATTACATTTTTTAGAAGATGGTATTTTAAAAGTCATTGAAAACAATTTAAACAAAGTTCTTTCTATTGATCCTACTCTTGGTTCACACAATAAAGACAAAGAACAAAGTAAAAGGTAATCATTTTTACTACTACATTTTTATTATTATTTATGTATTGACAAGTTAAACACATTTTTCTTTTCTAGGTTTTGTTATGTTTCTGTAAATATTGATCTACTTTTTCGCTTAAAAGATTGTTTGCGTAATTCTCAAACCAATGATACTGAAATTTTATTAAGCGTTACTCAATGTACTACAGTAACTAAATGTATAGATTATGTAGTTGGTTTGGGCTTAATACCATGCTTTGTACCAGCATTGTGGGCACCGTTTAGAAGTACGCGAGAAACCGTTATTAAATTCACAGAGGATATTCCGTCTAACATAGTAATAGTCAATTGTGCTTTATTTAAAAATATTACTATATTTTGCAATAATACAACTTATTTTTTATGTTGTTATTTCAGAAATATGACGAGCTGAATTATGTTATGAATGCATTTGTAGATTTATTGAAAGAACCAACACTCAATAGACTAATTTTGGCTACTCAGGCTAAAGCTTTGTTTGCAGGGTTGTGTCAGTTATGTTGGTTACCAATTGCTAAACCGGGTACAAAAATTGCTATTGAAAATTCAATTAATGAACTGAAATATGAACAACTTATCAAAGATCAAAATTATTATAAAAATATATTTAAACAACTGATTTTACAAGATCACAACCCTTTGATGATAAGAGAAATGATATTTATAATTGGACAAAAGGTCATTTTAAATTAATGACAACAAATTATCAGGAATTATAATCAACTATAATTAAATGTTCTAGGATTGTCAAAAACATTTAAGAATTAGACTAGGCGAAGTATTTGGGGATATGTTCAGTCAGCAAAATGGAATCAAAACATTACTCGGAGTGGCTTGTGATTTGATCTCTGCAGAGCCTACGCACAATTTTTATCAACATGGACTTCACGAATGGTCGAATTTGTTACATTCTTATTTCACTAAATCAAAGTCAAAATATGTATCATCGATTGTTCCTCAAGTAAATAACTCGATAATATTTTCAGATTAAAATTAGTTTTCACGCGTTACTAATATCATTATATATTTTAGATTTGGCAACTGTTGAGAACTAAAACAAAATTGCACGAAAAATATTTTCAAAGTATAGCGGTTTACTGCATGCATCTAATGTATGAAGAAGATTGCAATGAGTTTTTCACCCATTATATGAATCCAATGGTAGATCAGTTGAAAAACAAAAATAAAATTAATGTTGAAAATCACTCGGTGTCTCAATGCATTAGTGATCTACATATCAGTTTTTTTAAATTCAAAGATAAAATGTGGTCACTAAGTCCAAAGTTGTTGACGACCGTTGCCGGTACAATCTACAATATATACATTACAACAGCGACTAGCGTCTATTACCAGAAATCGCTGCTAGAAGATTTAGTGTATTTTATATTGGTACATTTTTCTGACAACAGAGATGTTTTAAAATTAATCATTTTCTCCCAATATCGAATTAGCGTTATATACAATGACTGTGATGGAGATATAGCTGTTAAACATGAAATAAGGGAGCATCAATTGTACCTTGAAAATGAAATAGATATGGTTTTGAATCTTATGGAAAGGAAAAATGATTTAGCGTTGATGAAAACGATGTTTACGACATTTTTAGACATGTACGCCGATTCAATGTCAAACGAATATTCAGTTATGGAAAGACTAGTTATTGTCAAGAGTATTCAATATCTAATAGAAAAAGATGAAGTTCAGCAATCCATATCCAAAGATCCTTCAATGGTATTGAATTTAATCCAATCGTTACTAAAAAATTGCTCTGAAGAAGAAACATTTGATGTTCAAGTACTATCTATTACGCTAATGATACTAGGAAGTATATTAGAAAAAAACAATAAACAAATTATTGGCTCGCTAAGTGGATACACAGAATATTTAGTAAAAATTGCCAATGTTATGGAGGATGGAATTCTAAAAGACATGGTGCTGGAAACAAAACAAAAAATTCAAAATAATTACTCTAAGAAGTCTGAAAATGAAAAACGTTCAATTGACGATATACTGTTTAACACTAGAGACCCGTTATTGCCGTGTAGAGCACATGCTTTAATCGAGTTAAAAAAATTGGTGGAGTCTAGAGATAAAGATGTACTAGCAAAGAAATCAACTATTTTAGTAGTAGTGCAAGTATGTAAATTAGATATGAGTATGTTATCTTCTTCTTCATTGTCTTAATATAAGCCATTAAGGCTTTTTGCCACAACCATTCTTCTCCGTTTATCCTTATCTATCACCACTTCTTTTCGCCATTATTTATTGCTAGCATTTTGTAAGGCCTTTCAGATTTTTTAGATTTTCATAAATAGACGGAAATTGTGTTGGGCGCTCTGGAGTCTCTTTCTCTTTAGGGTCCATTTTACATTTTTTGGATAATTTGTTCTTAAGTCCGCCATACATGTCCTGTACAACTTTCTCTTCTATTTTTCAGTATTGCTTACTTGACTACAGGATACAATGAAAGATTTAATAAATAAGTCAGTATTTATAATAAGTAGTTAATAAGTCAATTCATGTTCCACCGGTATTAAAAAAACTGATTTTTTAACAAAAAGTTCACTATAGACACAGTTAAAATGCTCTAACTCTATCATCCTGGTTGTGTTATCATTTTAATTTTTATTGAAAATTATGTAACCCAATTATAGATCTGAAAAAAGTCTTTGCCAATTTTTGCATTGAGGTCTTCCAGCACAATAGTAACTGTGATATTTAAGAGTAAGTCATACACCACTTCTAATTGGGTTTAGAATTCATTTTTTACCTCATCATCTTTTTCTTCCTCTGGGGCATAACAGTTAACTAATTCGGTGTTAAACAATTTACTTTGAACATTTGAGTACCATTATGCTCTAAGCTACCATCCTAATAATATGTACATTGTAAATGTTTTAATGTTGAGTTAGTCGCATTATGACTATAACGTTAAAAATTCTTTATACTTTCAGGAAAACTTGAAAAATGCTGATTCTTACTTGTATTTAAGCGCTATATTCACTCTCTCATCTTTATGCACGTTTTGTCCCAACGACATTTTACCAATACTTTGTGAAGAATACTGCATGCCTGATAACTATAATCACTCGGCCGAAACTCGTTTGAAAATTGGTGAAGTCCTAATGAAGACCGTTCGATTACTAAGTAAGTAAATATGTTATTCGTTACTAAAACATTTTCACAAGTTCTATACTTTTTTATTTAGATGAAACTATACCATTGTATAAGAATAGACTTTTGAATACTTTTATGGCCGGTGTTCGAGATAACGATCATTTAGTCAGAGCATCGAGTCTATCAAATCTAGCAGACCTGTGTCGTCTTTTACGTTATAACCTGGGCTCTATAGTATCCGAGGTTGTAAGCTGTGCAGACTACATTTTACGTTTTGACCCCGCAAATGAACCTCGACGGGCTGCTGTTCTTTTGTTACAGCTTATTATAGAAGGTGCAGACACAGAACTGCTCGAGGTATACTATTCTTGTTTAATCACACTTGAATAATAGATAATTATACTGTTTTATTTTGTTTAGATATTGGGTAGTAGTATAAAAGAAATTTACAACATGTTGAAGTTTCATTACAGCCACGACAAAGATGAAACTGTACAATTACATGCAGAAATTGCAATTGAAAAACTAAATAAGATAATGAAATCTTTATTTCTAAATAAGGTTGATACCAAAAAAAATATATAATATTGTTTTAAAATTATTTTAAATTTAGATGATTCTTATTTATAAGTAAATGTAAGTATGATAACTAATATATTACTGTTTTTTTATACTAGCAAACAATAACATTTTTCCAATGTTACATTATGTGCAAGAACTTATATTATATTTGAAAACTCATTAAGTGTAATCACTGATATTTATTCGGTTAACTAAACATAATGATGAATATTATTCTTACTATAGTATTAGTATTATTATAATATTGATAATTCCTATCATTAGCTTTAATTTTTATTTGTATCTAAAAGACTGAATTGTACATATTATGTCATGTCATTTTTCCATCGTATTGGAAATCGATGCTTGCTTCTGTAAAATGAATAAAACTGTTTTTATAATAAATAATTATAAATGGTTTTAGTTCGACTTCATAAATGTATGATATTTGTCATTTGTGATATGTTTATGAATGGTTATTGGTTGATGAGTGCAAATGAGATAAAAATTTTAATGTTTTTATTGAAACTCAGAAAAAAACAAGAATTAAATTATTGATTTCTAGTGTTTTTAAACAACTGGAGATAAACACGAACAAAATTGAGAGAGCTAGTGAAATATTTGGAAGAGGTTTACTCTCCAAATTTCTTCTTATGATATTTGTCTTTATGATTCCTTGTGGGTGCCCTTGCTGTGACAGTACATATGTTTAATTTCTTACTCACTTTTTATAAAGCAAGTATAAGAGGCAATTATAAAGCTACTGTTTATAACTTTATACATACATAGAATTTTTTTCTATTGTCATCATAATCATTTAGTTTCTACTTTAGTAACTGCTATGAAAACGAATGTCTATCTATAAACTTTTATTACTGTTTTTCGGCCCTAATGTCAGTGATAAAAATAAATAAATAAATACATTTTGGCCATTCTACAATATAGATACTAATTGCAATTTGAAGTGGTAGGTACCTATCTACTGAAGATAGACTATACGTTTTTCGATAATTTACTTTAATTTTTAAGTATCCCGTCTACAAAATAAATCGGAAAAAAAACAATTAAAAAAGGTATATTAAAAAAAGAGTGTCATCACACTATTTATTGTTATAGAATATAAATATTTAAAGTTTATTGTAATAGAAGATCAGAAGTACAATTTAAAAAATGTATTATGTCATTATAAATGTTTACTAGAATCTTTGTTGGAAGTTGGAATATATAAAATTATTATTTCTCTCTCTACCCTAACTAATAACTTAATCACAACTGTGCGGATATAATGCAATTTTCTTTAATTTAAAAAAAGTATAAATGTTATTTTCGTAAACTTTGTTACTCCTTTGATTGTTTTTTATTCGGCTATTTTTGAATCCACGTTATCCACGTAAAACATCACAACCATACACAAAAAGCAATTTTGATTGTGTGTATTTTAGAAAAGGTTTTCAAATAACCCAGCGTTCAGTTCAACAACAATAATAGGGTCTTCGATCCAATTTTTAAGGAGGTTATAAAACGTAAGTAGTAGGTATTCATATATATATATATATATATATTATTATTCTTTCCCGAGTTGCCCCACGTGGGAACCTTTTTATTATAACCCGGAAAAAGAGAATTGCAGACACCTAGGTACCTACCTACCTTCATTGTTATAATGCATCTGCACATATGTTTACACAAAGGATATCTACAGTATGCATACACCTGGACCTCTCAATTTCTACATGAGAAAAATCAGCTGCCGGTTAAAAATGTTCCTGTACTGAATAAGTCCTTAATATTTAGAGAAAAAAAATATACCTATGTGGTACTTCGTACTTATACTTACTAGGTGTCATGGGTATAGCCTTTTTTACAACCTTTTAGACTATTTTACTTCATATAAATATTAGCAGTGGCGAAGCGTCATAGAAGACAACGAGACGATATCTACCCACTTTAATATTTAAGTTAAATACGGTAACAGCTATTTGTATTTCAATTTTGAGTGATATAAAATACAGGGGCTCAATGATTTTTTAAGTAGTAATTCCTTACTCGTGAGTTGAGAACAAGTCTTCTGGACAAAAATTTTAAGAAAACAACTGATACCTAATTAAAAACTTGTTTAAATTACTTCAATAGTTGCTGACCTGTAACCATTCATCAAAATAAAAGTTAAACACAAACAAAATTAAATAGTATGACAAATAATTTTTTTGATGTTTACAATACCTAGTTTTAAATATTTTTCCCGTGTTTTTATAATTTTAAAAATATGCCCCATTAGGAACCTACGGCAAAATCGTACTCCATTTTTTATAACACCAGTTTTAGTGATTTAAAAAAATATTGACCTCTTTTTTTTTTTTTTTATTAATTGTTTTTTGTTTGCCTTAAAAATCATTCAAGTTGTATGTTTAATTAAATATCGATTGGTTCTTTATAAGAAAAAATTTAGACAGTTACTAAGCTTACAAAAAGTAAATAAAATAAATTAAATTATAGGTACTATACATACATACATAAGTAGGTATAGAAAACGTTGATAATACAATTCAAACGACAGGTACAGTAACATGAACTTTAAACCATATTTTATATAAGTAAAACGAGTAAACGACTAAGAGTAATAATTTAGGGATACCTCGTGGTAGTTTCTACGCTCATCCGTGCTCGGAAATTTGGCAACAGCGCACAGTTGGTCGGCGAACAAATAATAGCATGTTAAATAACAGTTTTGCAGCTGACCCCTGTAAACTGCGCAGCTGTGAGTTTACTTCCAAATAATCAATAGGCAGATGGGAATTGTACAACCCTCCGATTTCCATGGAAACATGCGGTACACATTATACATTCTTTGTATATATTGTATGTCACATATTGTCGATATACTATAATTTCAAATAGGACACCCTTTAAATCGGTTCAAAATGTACGAAAAAGATAAGGTCCTTACAGCCAGATGAACCCATTTTATTCAAACTTGTTTTTTCGTGGAAACGTTATCTACATTTTGATGGAAAATAGTAAAACCCGATTATTCCTTAATATTACAAAAGGCATTTTGCCCACCTAAGTCCTGAAAAATTAAAAAATGCGAATTTATTTGGTTGTTGCCCAGTCCCTTCAATTTCAATAGTAACACTTGTTTTACAACGCATATATTTTCATGATTTTAAAAGCATTCTAATAAGGTTTTAAGGAAATTAATATCGCTCTATATAGGGTGATAAACCGGAGGGGAGAGCTAAAACTATAATTTTCGACTTTCTAAAAATGTTTAACTCCTTTTTGGTTTTTCTAAACGTTTTTTTAAGATCCCAGTTTGAAATTTACTCATTTTATTCGTAAAATTATCTCAGCTTTTTTCAAAAAATATTAGAAAAATTCTCAATTTTTAAGCAACACGAAAAAACAAACTTTTAGTATTACAAACTCAATTTTAATTATTTAATGTTATCCCCCCTCCCAAAAAAAAATATTTTTTTCAGAAAGCTGAGATTATTTTACATAAGAAACTGATTCAATCATATGTTTGATGGCCGATGATACTACAAAAAAAAACGATAAAAAAAGATTCAAGAAAAAAAATACTTTATACGACTATGGCCAATTTGTTGATATTTCAACATAATACGAGTATACTAATTTTAGCTTCATATATGACTTATTGGAAAATTGCCTATAGGCTATTAGTAAGCTATTCACTATTATAGTTACTCGCTTTATAGCATAACTCAGTTATGCCATAAAACTGTACAACACTTGTGCTGCATAAGTGTTTATAAACTTTTACTATATCTATAGGCTATATATTAATTTACTTATACATGTATTTTATAACGATGTCACGCCCATAAAGACGCCGCAGACCGCAAGTGACATGACATTTTGTAAACATTGTCAATTTTTAAATATTTGTAAATAGGTTTAACTATATAGCTCAATAATGTCTAAATTTCTAAAGAAAAATTATAAAAACTTTTTCTCTGAACTCTAAAAATTATTTTAACTACCTATATTTAAAAATATATTAACAAAGAAAATCGTTAATGTTTTTCTAAAAATGAACGAAATTTAAACACGTTCCTTCACACGAAAAAGGAACTCGATAAGTTCCTGAAAATTCAACGACATAAATATAATGAGTTCCTTTGAACCCGTTCCTTCCAAGCACTGCTTTTATTATACTTTCTAGATTTGTTCACGGCTTAGAAGATCTTATGGCTTAGATCGTAAACATATACAGTATACTATATATTTATGCAAATAATCTATGGTTCACGGTAAAAACTAAAATCGTAAAATTGCAAATCCGGAATGTCTACATGAGCCATGACACAGATTAAAGGACCAAGATACATATACCATGGTTGTGGTGACTAGGCGAAAGAAACATTGGTAGTAGATCTTATTATCTTACCGGTTTTTTATCACAATACACGAGCAACAAGAAGACTTATAAACAAAACATATTTGTTAACGGGAAAATTGAAAATTATAAATTATCTTATTTACCGTTTAATGTTTATGTATTTTATCAAACATTTTAAATCAAACTATTGATGGTCGTTTGCTTGTTTCACCGAAATTCACGTAACTTATTATGTCCGCAACATCATGCACAGAAGTATGTCATTTTAAATTATCTGGTTGTATTCCATTAGAATATAATTTAGTTTTTTGTATAGTTTTAATATTTTAGCTTTATTAATTTAGGAACAGAAAGCAAGTGATGTATTCCAGTCAACAATCAATGATAATAACTGCAGTAACCCGAAGGAACTAGAGACGACTCAATTAAATACAGACAACTCAAATAAAAGTAAGCTGTTCGCTTAGTGTAATATCTTATTACTGTTTTTAAACAAAGAACAGTGTTCTTTTATTTCTTGCACAGGTTTAAGAAAAAAATGTTTGTTTACATTTATTGGGCCTTAAAAGTAGTTCATCAATTTTAAATTGACATTCAATCTATATTTTAAAATACCTGATTAGTTCTCTATTGCAGAAATAATGTACACATATTTGGTAAACAGTAATATAGTACAATGTTCTCTGTATTTGTTGTAAAAACCAATTATTTTATTATGAAGATATATAATTTATTAATATAAATGTCTAACCCTTGTTTTGTTTAACTTGAAATTGTTTAGTCATGAACTCAAAAGAAGATAAAAAAACCCCAGAAATGTGCATACTTGAAGGTTGCAAAAATGCAGCCATATCACATCCAGAGTGGGACAATGAATATTGTAGTGTGACATGTTGTTATGAGCATTGCAAGTCAGTATATAATCATTAATAAATTGTATTTGTGTAGCATTAAATGTTAAATGTATATTTTAGGACAACATTTCATTTATGGCTAGAAGGTAATAAAATTGCAATAAAAAAAGTAAAATTAGCAATTGATAATTCAGATGCTCAACCTCAACCAATGGATAGTGAACCAGGAAATCTTTGAACACTTTCTTTTATAAACACGACTTAAATTTTATAACACTTGTGGTACTATACATTTTTGCATGAATAAACTTGTAAGTATATTAGCTCACTTACAGTTGTTTATTGTACAGATATTTCAAAAGGTAGATAAGCGGTTTTCAGGGTAATGAAGCAATTTAAAAACTAATGTATTTTGTGGGCATCTAAAATTAAATTCCGTCATGAATAATGCTTTGTGTAAATGTACATGATAAAGTTAGTTTAATTAGATACATAATTTTGTAGTGACTTAAAACAGACAAAAGATTTAATATGAAATGTTAACAATTATTTTATAAGCTAATACAACAATTCACTTTTAAACGCGTGTCATAAGTGCCCTTCTATTTTAGATTTTGATTAAAAAATAAATGAGAAATGTATATGTAATACAGCAAAAACATTTCAAAATCTTCTACTAGTTTAAACTTATTACTTTGTACTTAATACTTAAGTAGGTATCAAATACATTTAATATTGAACTTGAAATTCATATAGTTATGTACCGTTGTTTTACATTGACGTTAAATATCTACTTAACGTAAATATTGCTACATTTTTATAAATTACATGTATATTATTTTAAATTAATAAAACAATAAAATGTGTGATGTACTTCATGAATTTACTAATATTAAATATTTGTATTATTATGTATTGCTTCAATCTTTGTTAATTATTTATTTGTGTTATATCCAAAACTTACTCAATGCAAAAATTATTTTTATTGAACCAAATTTGTATTTAATAGGTTTTTTTTATACTAATAATAAAAATATAATATTACATATTGTGTTCTTTTTTTTTGTATTCAATTTTTTAAGTGTATTAATGTTTTAAAAGGTGAACAGGAATAAGGAACGTATTGCTTGTAAGCTATATAATTTAATAACAGAGCAATGTTGTAAAACAAAAAAAATCCGTTATATTTCTTGGGCCCATTGTATAAATGTCATATTTTTTTAAATGTTGATGTTTCTTATTTGTTCTAGAATATTTTAACACAGTGGAGTCAGGGCAGCTGTAATTTGTTGATTATTCACAATGCTATAATATTACAATAGAAATTATTTTATTTTTAGTAAAAAATGTTTCATATTGGACATTTTTTTTTCTTTGAAATAGAATTCCCAGTTTTTTATCCAACGTCAGCTAATAATTTTTTTTTTTACATAATCTATCTTGATAGATATCATTTATGTCTGTGTACATAGCAATTGTTGTTCTTTTAAACAGTAAATAAATGGCTTGTGATTGCACTTTGAATTAATATAAAAATTAGTTAGTAAATTGATGAAAGAAACTAATGTTATCCACCGACCACCACGAATCAAGTATGTTAATGGATATTATTAAAATTGGTCGTTTTAAACTCAAATGTAAATACTGAATTGTCCTAATGAGTAAACATTACAAACATACACTGTAGACATGCAGTCCTTCTAAAGGTAACTTGAGTATTTTATACGACTTGAGCTAATCTACTTAAAATATTATAATTTTATATGGCCGTAGACTGAATAAATTTACTTAGTGTCGTGAATCTCTTGCACTAATGACTAAACTCAATAATGAGCAGTGGTCTCATGTCTTGGCGGTGCTTGCGATTTTCTTATCTCTAAAGTTGATAACAGGACTTATCAGTTAAATTGTAAACATGCACATTTTGTATTTTGTAATCATTATACCTATTGGTAAACCGCAGTTTATGCCACAATGAAAATTGTATTTTGTAAACATTAGTTTTAAATAATTGCTAATAGAATGCTAAAGGAGCTGTCACAAGAAGTATTATGATTAAACCATAAATCATAACATACAAAAGATAATAGACGTAAATTATTGTTTTTTTTTACATTATTTTTGTAGTTTGTTGATATATGTGTTTACAGTACTAAATGGCTTGTTAGACCACTGAAACCTAATTTCGGCGTAGGTATTCTAGTTTGTTAATATTTATTATGTTACGTGTTTAATCGTATCAAAATCATATTTTCATAATACAATTTTATTTATTAATAAAGCGTTTGATTATTAAATCAGTAAATAATATGACCCAAGAGTTTCTCAATGAAAAATTTAAAAATCTCGGATCAATTTTTTTGAATATGAAAAATTAGGGCATTTTAAATTGAGAAGGAAAAATGCAAATTATTATAGCGTTTTAATTTGTATTATTCCATATATTAAAATACTAAATATTTTCGTATTTAATTTTATTATTCACTCTTGAAAATTAAGTTTAACGCACCAATCGCCAAATTAGAAATTAAGTATACATTTAAAATTTGTATTGATGATAATATCTAACCAACTAAATTAACACGGAAGGGTGAAAATATCTAAGTAGTCTATTGTTATACATACACCACATACTGTAAAGTGTCTATGTAATACAAGCAGAAGTATTTTGTATCTTATTCTCAAATGCTTGTATAACTTGTAAGTACACATAAAAATACTATTCTGTCAAGACATTTATCACATACCAACACCTTTTTTCTGTTTGGGTATTCTATTTCTATCTTATATGAAATTATTTGATTCATTTCCAATAAAATGTTTCTGGTTCTTATACCATTCCTTGGTATTAACGAAATTGGATTATTTTAACTAACTTTATTTATGCTTTGTTTACAGTTGAAACAACCAATGTACAAATAAGATAGCTAGTAAAATGATTCACGAAGAGTGACATAGAAGTACTATTTGCCCTATTGCGATGTCAGCGTATTGTACGGATGATTCTAGTTCTGATTCTGGTAAGAGTCGTAATACAATCAACAATTGTTGTATTGTTTTCATTAATTTTATGCATGAATTTTATGCGTTGTATGCACTCAAATAATATGTATCAATTATGTGTGTTATAATTTTCAGATACTCGTGGATCCCAAGAAACATTTTTTTGTACTTACTGTCAAGATGAAATCTCAAAATTTCCTAGCAGAGCTGAGAGTGGTTATGATTCAATGACTATTGTTGTTCGCTGTGCAACTTGTGAAGATTTCTATCTCTGTTTGATGGTAATGACCGTTGCTTTATGTAGATAAATTAAGATTATTATTATTATTATTGATTTTCTTACCAAACTCAAATGTTTGGTAAGTTATAAATTTATTTTAATCAAATTGCTGTATTCTTGTTGTAAGCTTCATTGATTTTCCTGTTTAATTTTAGTGCTTTTCGAGTGGCGCTGAAATTGGACATCACAAAAACTTCCACGACTATAAACTAGTTGTATGTACTTTTAAATGCTGTATTTTTGAAAATTATTAATTATTTAATTTCAAATATTAAATTGAAAATTATACTATTGCAGTCATTTTCTAAACCAAATTTGTATCCCGAAAAATTATTAAATGCTATTGAAGAATGGGTATCGGAAGATACGGACAGACTTTTAGGTGTTAATAAAAAACTAATTGCCGGATGGAAAGATGTCGCCAATTCTGTTGGGTCAAAAAATCCTGAAGGTGAATACTTTTTACATATTTTATTTACTAAGTAAAAATAGTTTTACTAGGACATTTTAGAAAATACTGGGTTTGAAAATTGACTAATAGTTTCAATGCATTTTATTTTATTATAGACGTCAAAAGAGAATACACGAATACTTATATTGATGGTCCTATGGGTCAAAGGATTATTAATTTAGTCAATCAACGCATTGGCTATACTCCACTTGTATCATTAGACCAAGCTATAGCAATGGGTTGTTTTAAAAATATTCCATCCTATTTTCCTAGTAAAAAGGTATGTATATTAATAGTTTAAACTCAAGAGTTTAAACTTTTAACTCAACTTAAGTGAACTCAAGATGGGAATGTTGTTTGAAAACGTTTTTAAAAAAGTGATATTAGTTGAAAAAAGTAAAACAAACACAAAACTTAAAAAAAAAAATGTATTATTGTTTGTAATTACATAAATACTAATTTTAGGTAACAATAAATAATTATCTCATCTAAATAAATGTAACAATATAATATACTTATTAATTACATTACAATAACTGTATTAACTTTCCAGTTGACAAACAAATTTCAATAGTTTAAAAATCATTTTTGATATTATAAAAATATTTTATTAATTTTTTTGACCAGAAATTTAGTTGTCTTACAAATATTGCATGTACAATATTTGTGTGACATTAATGGCTGGCAAAAACCAATTGTAAAATATTTCAAATTATTATTCTCTATTTATTTGGTGGTTTAAGTTTTACATTTAAAGCTTAGTGTTTATCTTGTACTCATTAACATCAAAATTGTAGAAGCTTATTATATAAAACGTTCTTTTTAAAACAATAAACGAAAACAGTATTATAAATTTATAAATAAACTTAACCCTTCATTAGTTTGTTGTCAAGAAATATCACAAAATCTCTTATAATTTAGGGTTTAACTAATAAACGCCAACGCACAAGCAAAGAGTTTTCATATATTATGTATATTGTATTATATTTAAAATTGTATATAATATAGATTTTAAAAATACCAGACAACGAAGATAATTTAGAACAATACACAATCATTGACGAAGATGAAGATATTAAAAAACATTGCAATATGGTAAGATTATATGTGTGTTATAATGTTTAAACACCTCTTTATTATTTTTTTAAAAATATTTTAGAGTAAAGCAGTCACAAAAAGAAATAAATGGGACTGTTATCAGTTACAATGGCTGTTGCAATGTACTGCCGAACATGGCTATGGAAACTGGGAAGAAGTTTCTAAACATTTCAATAGACTAATTCGCGAAGAATACAGCAGTAACGATCGTATTTATCGAACGGCTGAAGGTAATTTTAATGATGAATGGCCTATAAATTAAGGCATCAGTGTATAGTGCTCACTAACTGTGGATTGTCATACAATAACTGACGGCTTTGTTTACCGAGCGAGAAATTATTCAGTGCATAGAAGCCGATATTTCCATCTCTGATAACATACTAATGACTGGTACAGAAATGGGAATGTGTTGAAAAACGGTTTTCTTGAAAGAAGCAGTCCTTTATAGCATACATTTTTACCTTATTTAGTTGTCAAATTAATTATTACAAATTATTTATTACAAACATTTATTTTAAAAGCCAACCTAATTATTTAAGAATATGATAATAAACTTGGGCAAACTCTTTTTAAAAATAAAAATAACTTGCTTAAATAAAAACCATTTATATAAATTTAAATAAAATATAAAAAATTTCCAATTTTAACTAAATAATGTTATATTAAATAAAATTGAAAATGATAATTGAAATACCATTAAAAAAAAAACTTAAATTTATTATTAAATAAATATTTAAAATAATAAGTTATTTGTTAGAGTTAAATAAAAAATACAAAATTATATAGTATTATAGATAGAAATGTATTACAAATATCATTATTTTTTAAATAATTATTTGTTGCTTGAATATTAAATGCCCAGATTTAATTAATGTATATATTTTATAGAACTAAAGGACGAATACTTAAGGAGATTCATTGAAATTCCTGCATTGGGTAGAACTTGGTTACCGATCTTAAATACAAGACCTGCAGTACCTGACCGAACAAAACGTATTGAAACACCTGCATCTAATGATGATGATGTTATAGATAGCCAGGTAATAATTACTACTTTTTTTTTTAATAATAATCACAAACATTTGTTTTTTTTTTAAGAAGAGTAGTTACAGTTATATACATAACTTGTTACAGTATACATTTCCAAAAACAATTATTCTTTTTTATGTAATATGAACAAAAATTAATATCACAATACGATAGAGAAATATAATTTCATTAGCCTTCAATTTCTTATAGTTAAAACAGAAGAAGCCTTATTTTTAGCTTTTAATAGGGGATAAAGAGTAGTAAATGTTTAAAATATTAGAATAGAAAAATTAATAGTCTATATTCGACATGTTACTTGTTATTTTACTTAAGACTAGTCTCAACTTAAATTTGTTAAAACTAGACGTATAACCTAATCGGGGACTAATAATTTGGCGGTTTTCACTGTCACCATATTTGTTTAAAAATTAACTTAATGAATTAAGACAAATCGCTTCATAGTCCTGAAGTTAAAGAGCCAAATCACAAATAATACAACTATGGGTGGAGTTCCAATAAAGAGTTTACAATCATCTATATTTTTTGCTTGCATAACTTCCAGAATATTTTTTATTCGTCATAATTATGACAATTGATATTTGCCACAAATTTAATTATAGTAAATTTAAGTTTAATGTTTAACTAATTATTAGATTAATTAGTAAAATAACAAGTTACAGATTATCTTTTAGGAAAACTACTTACAGTAAAATATCATATAATGGTTTTTTTTAAATTATTTATTTTCATAAAGTTTATTTAAAATTAAACAGGTATTTCTGAAAGAAGAAACAGGATTTTGTCTAACCTCGCCAACACTAAAAGAAAATACTGCTAAAGAACAAATAAAACCACCAGAAACGGAAAGTAAGACGCAATATTGTTATAAATCAGATTTAATTAATAAGATTATATAGACTTTACTTCTAATTAATAAAAAACCTGCAAACGGAGTTGGATCTCGTTAAAGCGGGAGTAGATCGCAGAACTACAGGAATTATAACCGAAAGTGATAAAATCACTTTTAAATATACCATTCAATGCTAATCTGTAGATGGTAAAAATACAAAATGATCTAAATAAAAAAGAGCCGATCCATAGAGTTGTTCGGTCCAGTTGTTTTACATTGATTGTGGGTCCAAACACACAAAAAAAAAACACATCATTGTAAAAACAACACCTTCTCAGTTTCGCATCGAATCTTGATCAAGGAACATAATATGTCCAGATAATACTTTTTACAATTTTATCAATTTATTTTCCATTTGTATAAAACAAAATACAAAATATATAAAATATAATAATTAAATAAATTATAAAATATTATTTCCAATTTTAAACAGATTATGCTTACATACACACACACACACACACACTCATATCAAATATGTATATAATAATATTATAAAATACCCAACTTTTAAATGTTTAAAGGTAACATTGTTATTAAATTAGAAATAAATGTTGTCTATTAATGTCAGATGAACATTAAAAATAAGTGAAAATTTAACAAAGGACAGGACTAAAAATATCTAAACTGTTAATATATTTTATCTATTGAGTTGGTTATTACTTTTGTATTTACTTGTTGAAAAATAAAATATAAAAACATCTATTAATCTAATTTATTTTATTTTTAGACGTGATAATATATTGTACTTATTGTCAAGAAGAAATTAATATCCTCCGTTATAGGCCGAGCGAAGATATAAATGCTAGCTACGATTACATAATTATTTATGCTCGCTGTACAAACTCAGAAACTTGTAAAGACTTTTACTTATGTATGACGGTTAGTACTGTTAAAATTTTGATTTATTCTCCTGCCGTCATTTTTTATTTGTGTCAATTATTATTTAAGTAGATCATTTATATTCTACTGTTTTACTTATAGTGTCTCGCTAGTGGAGCGGAAATTGGGAAACATAAAAATAACCATGGTTATTGTTTGGTATCTAATGTGGCTGTAGGTTCAAAGATGTTATAATTTAAAAATAAGGCTTATTAAACATTTTTATTTTCTTTGTAGAGATATTGTAGTGATGATTGTTTTGCTGGATCCAATTGGAATCTGATTGAAGAACTAGCTCTATTAGAAGGTGTCGAAGATTGGTTTACCGACGACAGTGATAGATATTTGATACAATCAAATGATGAAGAATTAGTGACAGGCTGGGAATATATTTCTGATCATATCCGATCGAAAAATCCTTTAGGTGGGTATTAAATAAGAATTAGACACATAAGCCTTTAGGTTCTGCATTTTATATTTATTACGATATAGCGGCATCGAGATTTTGTTCCGAATGATATTTTCACATTGAAAATCTATATCAGAAAATAATGTAATATGAAAATGTTTGTGAAATGTTTGTTGGAAATATTTAAACTTATGCATGTTTTGATGTTAATTGCAAAGAGGTTGATTTTGTGCTTGTTATGACTAGTCTAGACTTATGCTACATTAAAATTTCAAGTGCTAAATTATTCACATTTTTTTTTTTTTAGTTAAATTAATATTTATATATTATTTAAATAATAATATTTAAAACTTACAGAAGCAGAAGCTGAATTTACAAAAATGGCTACGGAAGGAGTTGTTAGTAAATATTTAAAAACTCATTCTTGCATTGATCAATTAGTTTCCTTCGAACAAGCTGTGGAAATGGATTGTTTTAAAAAGCCAAAACGAGTAAGTCAAATAAAACAACAACTGAAATTATACATAATTTTAACAATTTTGTGTGTATAAGTTCAGTCGATTTGAACTTGACTATATTTTTAATAAAAGTATCTTTGGTGTTTAATGTAGACTATAACTGTAACTACCGATGGGGTAGCGTATCAAGAGAAGTATTCGTGGACTAAAGCGCAGTTAACAATGTTATTGGATTATACGGCCATTTATGGATACGGCAATTGGGAAAAGATTGCTACAGAATTTAATAACAATGTTAACTACGAACATTATGGTAAACCAAAGGAATTCGTAAAAAAAACTCCCGAAGGTAGGTGTTTTTTTTCCTTTTAATTTTAGTTCACTCAATTGAAATGAAATTTGTTACTGTATAGAAATCAAAGCCGAATATATAACTAAATTTATTGAGACGCCAATTAAGCGTGGGCTGTGGAAACATCGAAATAGCACTCGACCTATTATAGCGGATCGAACACGGTTATACAAGCCAGTTGATATTCCACTCTATCCTGCATTTGAAATGGAACTTTTCACAGAAGTCAAATATGATTACTATGTTGACGACTATGAGACAGTGAGTAAACTGTGTTATAACAGTATACTGAGCTCATATTTAAAACAAATTTTCTGTATTGACTTAGGTATATTTAAACAAGGCTGAATCAATATTAGACATTTTATTTCCTGAGCCGACTGAAAAACCAGTAAGAAAATTGATAATGTTCTAAATTAGTTTATTTTGTGATTAAATAATAAAAACAATTGTTGTCTATATAGATATCGAAAGAAGTGGATGTTAAAAAGAGTAACATGGAAAAAAAAATCAAAGAAAATTTCGATGAAGGTAAATATAAGATTAAATTTAAATTGTATAGTATGTTATGTTATTTTCTATTGTTTCAGACATTGCGTTGATTTGTTTACAAAGATATAATGATGTCTTGAAAATGCGGAATACGGCCAAAGGATTAGTGCATGATTACCGATTAATCGAACAGTTTCTAGTTTATAAAGATAAGCCGGTTATGCCAAAAATAAAACCTTTGTAAGCGTTGACAATTATCTACATTAATAGTATATTTTAAATATTTACTAAAAACCAGTTATATTACTTAATTATACAATTTTTTAAGTTTTGATGCAAAGCTGAGAAGGAATTGGTTTTAAAATTAATATTAATTTAAAAAATCTGTTATCACTTTTTTTTCTATTGAGAAAACTTATATTTGTGGCGCATAGAACCAAAACAATAAAACTTAAATACTGTTTTATGTGATGAAACATATCAGAATGATGACGTTTCAATACTAATATGGCTCAGCCCTCGAAAACGTTTTTCCCGGAATTGATACATAAATAATAATTTTCAATGCCAAAATGGCCTTTAGTTGGTTAATGTTTTACAGATGGCTTAAAAGGCATGGATTTATACATACTTATAAGCGTTTATTATATTTCTTAGAGTGGATTTAATAAACAATTTTGGAAAATAGTCAAAACTTTAATTGACCGCCCTGCATAAATACACTTTTGTGGGCTGTTTTGGTTCTATGCGCCTCATTTATATTTTGTAGATTTAATTATGTACTGTTTCGCATCAAAGCGGTTATTTGAAAATTATGTTAGCGATATCAGTTATAATAATTCTTAAGACTTGTGGAGGACTCCAACCTTGCTGTTCTGAATTTTTTGTACACATAATAATATTTTCTATTAATACAATTATAGTGCTCAACAATGTTTCGCCGAACGTATATCCAAGATGGCGTTATTCATGAACGTTGATAGTCATTCGTTACTTATGGTCCGAGAAAAGGATGAAAAGTTGTTGACAGCTCGTTTTAAAGAATTACGATTGTACAGAATGATGGGAATCACCAAGTTCTCCGAAATAGATATGTTTCATACCTTGAGAAAATACAAGGGCTATTTAGTAAGATTAACGGCCGTTTTTATTTATGTTAAACTGTTTAATAAGGTATTATATTGATTATGATTGGGTTTTTCTTTGCAGAAGCAATTTGTACCGTTGTATTCGAGTGCAGGATGTACGCCTACGAGTAAATATCTGGTACCGGCTTGTTCTGACGGAAAAGGGTAATTTTAGACAATCAAATGTATGTTTTCTTATGTTTAACTTTGTTGCATAATTTTAGCGAAATGAAATATCTTCAATACGCCAAGACCGATTTCTATAATTCTCAACTAAGAGGCAAAATACCATTACGTTATTTAGCCAACGATATGTGTGAAGATTTGTTATCTGTTAACGAAAAAATGGTAAGTTTCTATTAGTAGGTCCGTTCTTTTCGCATCATTTATTTATACTATTAACTGTGACTTTATTTTTAGTTGTGTCTAAAATATAATGTATTGCCGAATGATTTTTTGAAAACTAAACGAAAAATAATAAATGTAAGTATTCCGTACTAATTTGGTGTACCTTTATTATTATTAATAATTACTATAAAACTCTTATTGTGACAATCATCCGAGTATGTTTAAATGTGTATTTGATTTTTACAGTACGGCGTTGGAAAGAATGCTCCTAAATTAGATCGTGTTATTTACAATTATCTAGTAAAATGTCACAAACTCGACTTGTCGAAACCGATTCCATTTGTTGTATAGCTGTTACTTTTTGGTAAGTATTGGCTTTTTTGTTATTTAATTTTTAACTAAATAATTTATATTTTTTTTTACAGAAATATTTTATTCTACATCACAGACCGAATGATTATTTACAATAGTACAATTTGTTTTATTACCTTTCTACATTAATCACGTTTGATTTGTTCTACCAGAATAATTTCAAAAGAGAGTATAGATGTTATTCATAGTAATTGTCTTGTAACATTAAATTTAGGCTTGTGTTTGTTAGTTTAGTTGTTTTAACAATAATTAATTTAATGAAAAAAATAAATGGCCGGTAAACCAACGAGAAAATGCTCAACAATATTGACAGTATACCAAATTTAAATGTAAAATTATTTTTGTATTTACATAGTACAAAAAAAAAGTTGATTTATATATTTTAATAAAGTATTTATTTTCGAGACTACTTTTTCTGAAATGAAATACTTTTTTAAATTCATTGTCATTTATTTGATTGATAACAACTTGTAATAATTGAGTTTTTACAATTTTTTTTTTTTGGAAATGTGTATTATAGTAGTATAATTGTTTATTTATTGTTTTGTATTGGAATTGAAGCTTTAAGAGAAATACAAATTAATATGGTGTAATGTATGTGTTTGATAATACTTATGTTGGATTTATGTTCAATTTGAATTTAGTAAGTGATTTATTCTTTATAAGACTGTTAGGTACTTAATAATGTGTTTTTAATAGTCTAAGAAGTACACGAATGTGATAATAAATAAGTTTTTTTGTACAATATTTTAGTTATGAATAACTACATTTTTCTTTTACACTAAATGTCGATTTTTCTTATCCCGCAATGTCCTTTATGCCTCATCCAATTACTAAGTTGATTACAGATAAGATTTACGAAGCCAAAACAATCGTTAGAACTTAAATATTAAAAATGGCAATATTTAACTCATATTTAATACAAATGTTGAGTTTAAGAAATTTGAATCACTGCAAAAACTGGTTATTAAGTTTTTTGTGACTAGTGTAAAATTTCAATTTTGTGACTTGTGTCGTTTTTGAAATGACCGATTCAATTGTATTTCACAATAAAACCACTATTTATCGGAAATCTTTATCCACTTTTTCAAAATATTCACTAAAAAAACGATGAAACATGGAAAGTTAGTACAGATAAAACCTTGTAACTTGGGGTATTTTGGATAATTTGGGACATAGGGTAAAATAATATACATTGGTTTCACGGTAATTTAAATACTTGTAATATAGCATAATTGTAAAAGATCAATTGTTGAATACATTATGTTACGATATATTTGTATTGTTACAAGCCATGTGATTATTTTTTATAACCGGTTATAATTTTAAAATTCTAATGGATTAAAAATATTAATTGAACATTAGGGCACCCGGGCTAAGGCAGTCCGTGCCGCGGGTTTCCGAGAGTAAATAAAAAATGGTTCATTAGATCAATTTAGAGGGACACTTAAAAAAAAAATACAAGATTGTTGAACTACAGTCACAAACATGTTTTTTTAAATTAAAAAAGGTTGCGGCTTATAAAAATTATAAATTTTGTAGCAAAAATGGGTCGATAAAATCCATAGTTTGGAAGCTTTTAAAGCAATTTTTATTTATTTGATGCGAGTGTGTGTGGGTTATGTAGTTAGCGTGATTTAAAACTCATCATCGTCATTAAGATCTTCATAATCTGGAACAAACAAACATATATACAACTAATGCAATAATAAAGGCGAATGTTAATATTTATACTAGTATAATTCATATTATATGATTATTAAATATAATGGATGTCCTGTGAAATGCTAAAACTACATTTTTTTTTCACCAATAAAATAATGACCGTTTACTTAAAGGATTTGTTTTTTTTTCTTTTAGGTCAACTAATACATACCAGCATCATTTTTATAAAGAACAAAATTACTAACCCTTAACCACAGCACTGGTGCATTTTATACACTCAACTTTAAATTAACTAATTTTTTTTATTAAACAAATTGTTACAATAAAATATAAAAATCAAGCTCTTTTTTAAGTTGGCTAATAAAAAAGCATAATTGTATACGATGCCATTTTTTTTTGTGTTAACTGTAATGGTGTATTAAATACATTGCGCGTGTAATAAATGAAAAAACAAATAGAGCATGGAGTTATGGGTTGAAGGAAAAGCAATTATTAGATTAAGTTGTGTACAACAATATTATTAATATCATCGTAGATATAGTATAATATACGGACAGCCCCTGTAAATGGATTTGACTAAATTTGTTAGATTTCATAATAGGTTGTTACATTTATGTTGTTTAACTAAGTATATTTAATTTATAATATACAATGTGAAAATAGATTTATATATTTTACATAAGTGGATATGGTGTTTTATATTTGAGTCGGACTTATTAATTATGTAGTGTTAGAATTACATAACTATATTTTTTACTTTAGAAAAAAATATAGATATGTAATACAATAATAAAATATAATTACCGTGAAAATAATCTTGCAAATTTTTTTCATTAATTTCATACAACACATTGTTTCCTGTCTGAAAAAAATAGGTAATGTAAGTAATCAATTTATGGACATTACTATTATTCTTACTTCATCTTCCATGTCCATAGCTCCACTTGTTCCTTCTGGAAACATTTCATCAGCAACTACTACTGGCTTCATGATTTATGAAAGATATGGAATGCTTACGATAAATTTAACTAGAAAAATATAGAAAAACAATTTTTTTTTAATAATAAAAGCAAGTATAATACATTTTACTAGTAAAATCCTAAATGCTATTGTGACTGAATTTAACAAAACTAATACTCGAGATTAAAGAGCTTTTGTCTATATTCGACAGCCTTATTAAGATCATTTAATCTGATAAATTATATAATAAAGTAAAAAACTAAAAACGAACTCACTTAGAAAGACTTCCAACGTTTTGCCGACTAATTATTTTTAAAATATGCAAATGGCTTATTTTATATTAGTGTGGCATCGAATATAATAACTCAGACTCTAAACAGCAAGCTTTTGTTTGTATACACTTTCGTTTGCTTATATAAATTATAATATATATTTAATCAATAAATTAAGAACGGTCGTCAAGGAGGATGTATATAAACCGCGGTTATGTTGCGTTACCGATAAATGAGAGTATTGTCGTTGGGTAACCAAATTATTATCTTAAATCGTTGTTGCCAACCGCATTTACCAAATTGCATAAATCCCAGTTTCGTCTTTTCTTATAAAAAATATTGTATTTTGTTAAACTGCATTTATTATTGTTACTCTGAGAACTGCAATGACGCAAGTGGGTGGGACCTAATTTCATTTGGATTATTTTTAACGGATGAAAAGTTAATTAATTATAACTCACCGTTTTTCCAAAGGAATATTAAACATATGTCACGTATATCTATGGAAAAAAATGGATTTGGGAAATCATTTTGTTTTACTAAACCCACTCATTGCAATTTCAATTTTTAACTTAGGGGGGCTGGACATTTTTTTAAAATAAATATATAAGTAAAAATATTTTTGTATTTTAAAATTTTATGCATAACCTAATTTTTTTAGTGGGGCTATGTCTAGCATTGGGGGGGGGGGCTAAGCCCACCCTAGCCCTCCCCGTATTTGCACCTATGCTACTCAATCCCATACGAGTAAATTATATTAATACAGTTACTGTATTTAAAGCAACTTTTAAAACGGTATCTATTTTTAAAGTTATTGAAGTTTCAAATTCAGTGCAGGAGGAAAGATAGAGTGGTATTATTTTTATCTGCGCGCCCTTCCCAACCACACTTCCCCACCCCATCATTACATTTCAACTCTTATAACTGGTTAAAAGTTGCTATCAAAAAAACTAAGTTAAGAGTGGGGTAAAATCTAAAATAACTGTAAAAAATTGAGATCACATTGTACAAAAACTTTATATTAAAAAAATTACTTATTAAACCCTTTGAGATATTAGGTGGTTCACGATAAAATGAATAATTAATTTTAATAATTTTTTTTTTGTTTACAGAATGAAAGTAATAATTTGAACGATCAGAAAACGAAAATTGTTATTAACAACTATTTTTGTGACGAAAAGGCCAATGTAAGTATTGCTTCTTTTTGTTCTTCCTTTTTTGATTTTTACTTATAGTTTATGTTATTATATGAAATTTAAAACACTTTTTTGTTATAATTTGTATTCGGTACTTTTTTAATAATGTTTTTTTGTTTACAGAATGAAAGTAATAATTCGACCGATCAGGAAAAGAAAGTTATTATCTAAACCAATTCCATGGCTAACTGGTCAATGTAAGAATTGCCCGTTTTTGTTTCAAGTGTACATAGAAATACTACAATTATTGAAATATCACATAGTCCTTCCTCTTCTGCTTTGGTAAGTTTAAATTATTAAAAGATAACAATGCATTATCTAAAAATACGACCGTCATGAACAGAACCGGCTACTTTGCTAAAATGTCGAATATCTCACAATCTACTAGTCCCCATCATCATCAACAGATTAACACCATCCTTTGTAATAATTTTTTTTTTTACAGAATGAAATTACGAACGATCAAAGGAAATATGCATTGCAGTTTTTTTTTATACATTTTTATTTAAATACCTATATATGAAAATTTAAATAACCAAAATTTCATATTTTCTTTTCTTTTCTGCTTTGGTTTAAGCTCATGACCAAATTAATAAATCTTTAGAAAATATATATCGTCTTAGCTATTAACTTTGCACGGCTAAGATAACAATATTCTAGTAATATAAGGTTCAATAATTGTATTTACTTTTTTATTTTCAATACCGGATTTAAATTTTGTTTTGTTTATATTTTTCCATTATTTTTAAAACATTTTAACGGTAATTAAATTAAATATTAACACTTGTGATAAAGTTTAATTTCTTCAATTGAGGCGCCTAGTCAGCACAAGGGGTATGAGCGACATTTTATTGATTTCGAAAAAATCAACCTCAAAGTTTACATCCAGATGGCGTTTTCGTTTGGGGGTTAGGTGATTTGCTACAAGATCGCAGCAATTGATTAATAATTCACTTTCTATCCTTACCACCATATGAAATGGACAATTTGTAGTTTAGCTGTGGACTTAATTCGGATTTTGTAAAAATGACACTTATACTCCTTGTGTTCTAGGCGCCTCAATTGTCTTGAGGAGGTTACTATGAGACTAACTGCGCAAGAGTCAAGATTAGTATAATTGTTTATTTATTGTTTTATATTGGAAGCTTTACGACAAATACAAATTAATATGGTATAATGTAAGTGTTTAACAGTAAGTGATTTTTTCTTTATAAAATTGTTAGGTACTTAATGACGTGTTTTTATTAGTCTAAGAAGTACACGAATGTGATAATAAATAAGTTTTTTTGTACAATATTTTAGTTATTTATTTATTGTTAAATCGTATTCGATTTTTTTCTTGTGCATTTTCTCAAAGTACTATGTCTCGAAAATCTTATCTGAAAATTTCAAGTTAATCTAAGGAATAGATGACTCGATGTAAGTAATTAAATAATTAATATTTCTATACATAAATCGAGTATACAACTTTTTAAATGAGTTTTTCTCGAAACTAAGTTTTCAAAGTCGGTGACCACTATATTT